CCAGAGAAATCAAAAGACAGAGTCGAAGAGATCGGAAGAGTATATTTGGCGATGACCAATATATCGGAATTCTCTGATCTAATCTGGCTAGCGATTGCGGTAGATGCTGAGCACGGCGTTACCACACGTGATCTGGTGCGGATGCCTGACCGAGCGCCTTCAGCTAGATGAGTCCACTAAAACATACGGTCAGCATCCAATGTCGAAAACTTAGAGCTATTTATTTTGGGGATTTATTTACCGCTACAGATCACTCCCCCCTAGTTGGGCAGTGACGACCCTAAGACGTGGCCAGCCAGAAGTTTAAACCCAACAAGTTTGTCGTTTGGTAAACACTCTTCTGATAGCTTACTAAGTGTAGCAGCGTCTGGTCGTCTTTCCTTACTATATGGGACCGAGGTACAACATAGTAAAAAAAGAGAGCTACAACGAAAATTTCGACTCCTCGTAAACTGCATCGTTCTTTTCCAGTCGTCCTGGAAAAGAAAAAAGAAAGTTTAAGTGCATGTCGAAATACACTCGTATATGCGTAAAAACACAATGTCGGCGAAAAAATGAAAAATATACTCAACCACACGTAATAGCGTTAAAAAAATGTTTTTTATGTTGTTTTTTTAATAAAAATATAAATATATAGGCATAATAAAATTGTCTTTTTTTAAAAAAATTATATATCGTTAAAAAGAAATATCGAGATAATATAAAATGTCGAGTAGTGCCTTACTTGCAGTAGTCGTTCAAATGTTCTGGAAATCTTACTCTTCTTCCAGAACGCGTCGTTTTACGTTTATTTTCGGATACTGTCGAAGTATCATCGTGTGTGTTGGTTGTCGGATGAGGTATTATAAGTGTCGGAGTCGTGTCGTTCGATTGTACCGAAGGAAAATCCACGTAGATAGGATTTCCTTCTAAATACGCTGCTTTTAAGCGATCGATGCTGATGCTATCGTTGGTTCCGTTCTTATCGACTATATAGTACTTAGATTCACGTTGAAGAACTTTGAAGGGTCCTTCGTATGCTGATTCGAATGGTCGTCGATGCGAGTCTCGACGAACGAAAACGTGTGTACTATATCGTAAGTCAGGTTGAACGAAAACATCGGTTGATTCTGGTCGAGTGGAAGCAGGTTTAACTGAACGCATTGCGTTTGTAAGCCTGTTCGTGTAGGAGGTTAGATCCATGCTCATTGAAGAGGATGAAGGATCCACGAATTCTCCTGGAAGTCGAAGTGTCGTACCATAAACGAGTTGAACCGAAGTGTATCCAATGTCAGCTTTCACTGCATTGCGGATACCTAGTAAGACAAGTGGAAGAGCGTCGGTCCACTGTGAAACGTTTGCAGCTGATAGTGAAGCTTTTAGTTGTCGGTGAAAACGTTCTACCAACCCGTTTGCTTGTGGATAGTAGGCGGTCGTTCGGAAGCGAGTGATTCCTAAAAGTGTGGTCAGACGACGGAAAAGATTAGATTCAAACTGACGTCCGCGATCTGTGGTGATGGTTGAAGGGCAACCGAAGTTTGCTACCCATCGTTCGACGAAGGCGCGAGCCACTGTTTCAGCAGTGATGTCCTTGATAGGTACTGCTTCTGGCCATCGAGTGAAACGGTCTACGCAGGTTAAGAGATAAGAGTATCCATTTGAATCTGGTAAAGGTCCTACCAAATCCAGATGAACATGGTCGAAACGAGCATCGGGAGTTTTAAACGAGCCTAAGGGACATTTATTGTGTCTGATAACCTTAGATTTTTGGCAGCTTACACAGGAGCGTGCCCACTCTCTCACGTCTTTATTCATACCAGGTCAGCAAAACCTTTCTGCTATAAGCTTGATGGTTGCACGGACACCTGGATGAGAAAGTTTGTGCAATGTATTGAAGACATTGCGTCGATAATGTTTCGGCTCGATTGGGCGATCCCTACCTGTAGATGTGTCACAAAGTAAGGTTTCTTTACCTGTTCCCATCTGTTTGATGCGTAGTTTAAGTGTTGTGGACGATAACTCGTGCTGAAGATCACTGTCTTCTTTTTGAAGCTCGGCGAGTTTAAGAAGGTCGATTCCTTGGAAACTGTTCAAGGAAGTTGTGCGAGATAAGGCGTCTGCAACTACATTGTTTGCTCCAGAGATGTGTTGAATATCTGAAGTAAACTGCGAAATGTAGTCCAGTTGTCGAGACTCACGGGGAGAGTACTTGTCAGAAGGAGAGCTTAATGAGAAAGTGAACGGTTTATGGTCCGTGAAAAGAGTGAATTCATGGCCTTCGATATAGTGTTGGAAATGCCGTACAACACAATACATAGCTAGGAGTTCCCTACCGAATGTGCTGTACCTCGATTCAGTGTCTAGCAACCTTCTAGAGAAAAATGCCAAGGGTTGCCAGGAGTTGTTAACCCATTGTTGTAAGACGCCTCCGATTGCCGAGTCCGATGCGTCTACTGCGATACTAATGGGTGCTTCGGTGTCCTGATGTGCGAGCATTGTTGCTTTAGCAATCAGTTCCTTAACTGTGGAGAATGCTATACGTGCGGTGTCGTCCAAATTAATGGGTTTCGCATTTCCACGAAGTTGGTCGGTCAGAGGTTTCATAAGTAATGCGCATTTCGGTATGAAACGTCTATAGAAACTTACGAGGCCGTTAAACGTGCGTAATTGCTTAACGGTGGTCGGTTCTGGGTAATCCAGAATGGCCGCCACTTTGGTTCTAAGGGGTCGGATACCTTGAGCATCTATAGTGTGTCCCAGAAAGTCTAACGAGTCGGTTCCAATTTGGCATTTTTGAACGTTTACAGTAATGCCATGTTTTTGTAGTCGTTCGAAAACAAGATCCAGATGCTTGAAATGTGCTTCTCTGTCCGGACTTGCGATTAGGCAGTCATCAACATAGCCATAGGGATTTGGTTATACGTTTTAACCAAGTCGATTTTTGAAAAGACAGTTGTACCTTTCAAGGTAGCTGTCAAATCGTGAATGTGAGGCAACGGGTAACGATCGGGAATGGTTTTCGCGTTCAATCGCCGATAGTCACCAGTTGGACGCCAATTGTTGCTGTCCTTTTTAGGGACCATGTGCAACGGAGGTGCATATGGGTTACTTGACGGTCGTATGATTCCTAAGTCTATCATGTGATCGAATTCGTTTTTCGCTAACCTTAGCTTTTCAGGAGCTAGTCGTCGTGCTTTAGAAAATACAGGTGGTCCTGTAGTCGTGATGTGATGTGTAACGTTGCTGGTTACACTCGGTAATCTCGGTTGCGTTTGTTGTATCCTAGGATACTTATCGAGAAGTGGCTGATAGAGTGTGTCTATCATATGTTTAATTGTGACTGGGGATAATCTACAACCAGAGAAGGAAGTGTTTCCGTCTACTAGCCCCCGTTTGCGCGTGTCGATGACCAGGTTATGGTGTCGTAGAAGATCCATACCAATGATTGGCATAGAAACATCTGCAACAACGAAGATCCAGTGAATGGGTTTGCGTAAACCCACGTTAAGGTAAACGTACCTTTTGCCATACGTAGCGATCGGTTTTCCGTTTGCCGCCTGTAAGTTTAGGGTCGATTCGTGAAGTCGGTCGTTGGAATTCGCTGGGAGAACGCTAACTTCTGCGCCAGTGTCGACGAGGTAGCGAACTCTCGTTGTCACATCTGTGACGAATAACAGACGGCTTTGTTCGCCGGCTACGGTTGCCGTTAACGCGTGCCGGCTTGGAAGTTTCCCGAGTTGTTTTTCGAGTCACTTGGTTTCGTGTTGGGAAAATTGCAGGGTTTTCTGCAATTTCTGGAAAACTTTCCATACTGGTTATGATACCAGCACCAGTCGGGATTATCTGTCTCTCGTGGTCTAGAGACATATCGCTTACGTGAAATGCTTTTACGTGAGGTGCGTGATCTCTTGCGGTCGGTACAAAGACTAAGATAACGCGTGAGTGTGTAACATAACTCGGTTATATCATTCTGAGTCGTTTGAGGTTTTTCTTTGATTGAAAATACCTCGGTAGTAGGTTTCGTAATTTCTAAAATGGGGTCGGCTGATGCAGCTAGTTCGTCTAAGGCGTTGTTCTGGAACGAGACCAGAACTGCTTGCACCTGTTGGGGAAGTTTTGACAAGAAGAGTTGTTTGAATAGACCTTCGTCGAAAGTTCTTGGGCCTATTACCTCTCTCATCCGTTGCAACATGTCTGTCGCAGAACCGTGTTGCAGGTCGATATTGTTGAAGAGTTGATCTAACCTTTGTCGATCGGTTAGGTCTCCTCGTTTAAGAATCGAGCGTTTTAAGATTTCGTAAGGATCGGAAACATCACTAGTAAACATACTAGGTGTTACGTACCTGTTGAATTCGCGCGGTAGTGCTTTGACTACTGCGAGGAATTGTGCACATGTGTCGATCACGCCGTGCTCGGAGAAGTCGGCTTCTGCGTAGCAAAACCAGGCTTTGATGTTGTCGGGCCAGAAAGGCATCAGTTGAAACGAAGGCGGGGACAAAGTCTTAAGCTTGAGTACTTTAGGTGTCTGTTCAGTCATGATGAAGTATGATAATGAACGAGGGGAAAAAATATATATATCCAAGAAAACACACGAAAAAAATCACAATGTTTAAAAAAATAAAAAAATAAGGCAATGATATATAAAAATCCCAAAAAGGAACAGACTCACAGTTGCAATTAGGTGTACCAGGTCACGTCGGTCTCACCAATGATGATGTCACAGGTATTCAGTATTTGACAACGCTTCTACCAGTAACACCTTCTAACATATTTCGTTCCCACCCAGAGAAATCAAAAGACAGAGTCGAAGAGATCGGAAGAGTATATTTGGCGATGACCAATATATCGGAATTCTCTGATCTAATCTGGCTAGCGATTGCGGTAGATGCTGAGCACGGCGTTACCACACGTGATCTGGTGCGGATGCCTGACCGAGCGCCTTCAGCTAGATGAGTCCACTAAAACATACGGTCAGCATCCAATGTCGAAAACTTAGAGCTATTTATTTTGGGGATTTATTTACCGCTACAGGGTAACACCCAGAAAATGGAGACTCAACATAGCAGAACGGACTGTAGACAAAACTACTCCTCCTTAAGGGTTGTCGAATGCTGGAATTCGCTGCCGGCCGAGATAGTCCAAGCGACTACCCAGTAGTCCTTTTAGAGGCAACTTGATCTATTATTAAGGACTAAGGATATTATCATACTATGATTTACCAATTTCTTTTTCCTCTTTCATTGTTAACATACCTAGGTTCCTGCCTGGAAGTTTTGGTGATCCACTGATACTAGACACGGAAGCTCGTTAAGCGAAAGCTTCTTCTATTCCGTCCACAACCATTTGAACTGGAATTCTCTACAGGAACACGTAATATCAGCACCTTCTGTTAATATATTCAAAACGAGATCGAGCCTCAACATTATTACGAACTGCAAGGATTAATATAGGTCGATAGACCTCCTATCCTTATTTCTGAAGACTGAAAATTTGTTTATTGATAGCGGATGTAGAAACACTGAACGGCCTTTTCGTGCGGAATTTTGGGATGTTAGGATGAACGTTGGTGCAAATTTCCCTTCCGCTGAGTCTGTGGATTTCTCTTGTAAGTTTAAGCTTAATTTTAATGCCTCAAGATATCGTATTCCGGATATTTTTATGGGCCGCAACTTCCAACATATTCATCCACGTAGTTGCTTCTCTTGTAGCATTTTACAATTTGAAGGCACATAAGTCCTCTAGGATATGTGCTCCTATCTTCATACTTGTCATGGGGGTTTTAAACACGATATCATTCATGTTAATTACAAGTAAATTTCATAAATGCTGACTTTCACAACAGGTATTGTGGTTGCGGGTGTGTATAAGGCTACGGGGATCACATTCAACGAGATACATGCTGTGGCTTCCGGAGTTGCTCAGACACTTTTATTGTTTCTTTTCTCTGCTACGCGCATTCCATCCACGCTATAGTTGCGAATACTGAAGTCTTGAACTCGTGTTTCGTTTTATACGGACGAATCCGCTAACCACTCTTATTCTTATATTCTGGTCTAAATAAATTCTTTTCTACATTTTTTGAATTTTCGTAATTGTATAAAGCTCAGAGTTTGACGCTAGTGTAGTGCAGTATTATAGGCGTTATAATTATAATATGCAGCTGAGATTAATAATCCTATATCATAAAGTGCTACCCACCTACTTAAGCCTATTTCTCTTTATCACCTTGTTGAAGTCCGCGTGATTTTCGTAACCAATGCTTAAAACATCGAATGACGTTGCTCTAGATCGTTTTCAACAGAAAAAATATATCTGTTCATTGTTTTGTGCAAGATTTTAGGCATCTGAATTCCCCACACATTTTCATGCGTTTTTTCCCTAATTTGTATTTTCATGCATCGTATCTTCGATGTGTAATTTTTTCAAACAGCATTCATACTGTTACTGACTCTGGAATTCGCCCTAACACTGCTAATAGAATATGGTAACTCGAATCGATGTACACAAGTACCAGGTTCCACGTTTCAACCGACCGACCAGTGATTTCTAATTAACTCTTCTCAGTTCTTTATTTCAGTTGTTGCTAACTGCTACTCATCATTTCGACGTCTATATCCGATCCCCAGGACCTTGTTTTCTTTTGTATGTCATATCGTTTTCCTTTGAAGACTCAGTCAGTACTTGCTCTGTAATGCAGTCTAATGGTCTAGGTAGAGTGTGTACTATCCACCTTCAGCGCCTCTTAATTTTCTCATCTGGAAACTAGTTTGTTCTCTGCTGCAGTAGATTATTGCTGATGGTGTACGATCCATTGACCTGGAGTATCTTGCATGGAGAGCTGTTCACAAACACCTGTTTTTCTGGTGAGAGTTGTCCAAAACTCGAGAAAGATAGACTCGCGAGGAGCAGGCGGGCTTTCATTCTGGTCGAGGATGTATTGATCACATCTTCACTCACTGCTAAATGTTAGAACACCGTCATACTTATCACAAGCTAACAGTCATAATGTTTCTCGACATTAGGACTTCCTTCGATTCGTTGGACAGGACTGTTCTCTGAGATTGTCTATTGAAGAAGAGTGTACCTGAGAAGTTTATTAACATCCTAAAAGCTCTATATACAAACACCTCAGGCAGGGTGAGGGCATACAATCATCTCTTTCCATTGTTTCATTTAGCAAGTGGGGTTAGACAGGGTTGCCCAACCTCACCATTCCTCTCCAACTTTGCTATCGATGATGTTCTGAAAACAGCTTTGATGGATGTAAGTAATTGAGAGCCAGGGTGGTTTATGCTAATCTGGTCCATCATCGGCACCTTCGTGATGTTACTTTGGTTGTAAAAGGTCGGATTTACAACGCGTCTGCGGGATAAGTCTTGCTCTGTGCTTGCGGAACCTGGCCTCCGAGTTGAGGATATCATTCACCACTCCCTGGTTGGGGCCCTAGAAATGATGCAACACAGTGGCTAGAGACGTTATCAGACATGGCTCAGAATAGGAGCCAGTGGCGATCCTACTGTAACTTTGATTTACTTTATAAAAAACCGAACGTAACTTCTTTAACAGGAAGGGTTATCTTTGGCTGTACTTCTGCTAGTTGAACTGCCCCTTCCATTATTATTATTTCACCCTCATACACTAATTTATGTTCGTTGTTGTTCTACTTTGTATTCTCTATCTCTTCATGTTCTCTTTGTTGTTGTGGTGCTTATTTATTTGGTGCCCCTTTGTACAAATATTTATGCGTTCAAATAAATGAGTCCTCCAAGTCTCAGCTTCCCAAAAATGAATTTTTACGTCGGTATTCAAAATTCTGACTTTGTTATTGGTTGACAGATAATTGTTTTGAGCTCCTTATGTTCGTCAAATGTGGGAACGCTGCCGTTGCTTTAAACATCCTTACCTTTGCGTCTGCACCAGATCCTCCTCGTTCGTCGACGACGATGCTGTCTAGGTAAGTGAGATTCCACCTCTTTCAGAGTTTCCCAATGGAATGTGATTGTTTGGTGTTCTGTGTGTTGTATTTGAGGATGTTGCTTTTCCCTTGTGTATGTTGAGTCCTACTGATGCAGAGAGTGCTGTTACACTGGTTGTCTCCATCTGCATTTGTTGATGTGTGTGGGATAGGAGAGCTAGGTGATCTGAGAAGTCCAAATCTTCTAATTGATTCTGAGCCATCCATTGTACTTCGTGCTTCCCGTCAGATGTGGAGGTTTTCATGATCCAGTCGATCATCCGAAGAAAGAGGAAGGGGGAGAGTAAGCAGCCTTGTCTGAATCCGGTCCTCACTTGGAATGCATCTGTCAGCTGTCCTCCACACGCGACTTTGCAGTGTAGTCCGTCGTATGAGTTCCGGGTAATATTGACATTCTTCCCAGGAACTCCAGTGTCCAAGAAGTTTCCATAATGTTCTCCTGTCCACACAGTAAAGCACCTTCTCATAATCAATGAAGTTGATGTATATTGATGAGTTCTATTCAACTGATTGTTGAACGATGATCCATAGTGTAGTGATTTAGTGTGCATACAACGCATTCTTCAGAATCCGGTCAGTTGATCTCGAAGCTGAGCGTCTGTATTTCACTGCTAGCTTATTATTATATATTTATTTATTTATTTTAACATAGATATTGGTACAAGGAGGCACCAAATACATATGCGCCACACAAATCTCATTCGATATGTATGAGGGCTGTGATACTGCCCGGGTACCCAAACCGAAGCAGGTGGTTTTCTTAGGGGGCCACACCCCGAGCCTTCGACCTGAAGGTCTGATCCACAAGACAGTGGAGCATCGTAAGGAGATGCAGTCCCATGGAAGCCGGTGACGAACAGTTGGTTCATACGCCATTTGTTCCCGCAGGATGTTAAAGCGCCGGACATTCGCTTTTCGTCCTTTCATTTTCGTAAACAACAGTGATGCCACGAGAAGGCAGTGATTAGGACTTCCCTGGCAGAGGCTATATACGCGTGGCCATGTGAGAGCTTTTTTTTAGGGAGAGCGGACTCTCCCCACTCTCGGCCGTACCAGGGCATTTGGGGGCTAGCTTCGTCGTATCATATAGTTGTCGATTCTTTCTTTCCGTTTCAGTTTTTTCTGTAATCATTGCTAGATTTTTCACACATTTTCGCCTACTAGTTCTAATGCTCTTCACTCGTTTGTGTGCTTCTGCATGTCAAACCTTGAATTTATCTGCTCGTGTTCGACTGTTGTCGATCTCCGTCTTATTTTCCCCTTGTTGCGTCTTGCCCAAGGCGTCTATCGAGTTTTATTGTTTATGTTGGTGCTTTTTGCTACCCAACATCTTGCAGCGTGTTTTAGTTATTTCTTCAATCCTTTCCAGTTCTTCATAGTAGTTTCTTTTAGTAGATCTTGTGTGGTTTAGAACCTGCTGCTTAGTGCTATCTCGAATTCACTGAGTCTGCTAGCATTCTGAAGGAAGGTTGTATTAAACTCTTGTAATGGCGTTTGTCCAGTACTTCTTTAGTCTCAATCTCAGCTTGAGGACCATCTGATAGTGGCGGTATCATAACCCTTTTCTACTAGCTCTTTAAATCCCATAACAGAGTTTAGGTGAATTAGTTGGTCTACTCTGGTTGGCATTATTATAACAGTTTTTTATATGAGTTAGGATTTCCAACCCTCATTTACTCAAGCTTGTGGTTGGCAGTAACCCTAAAAGACTCTATGCTGAGTCTGTTACCTACTAGTCTGAATAAAATTTTGCGAATACAAAGAACGTTTTAATCTTAATTACTAATTTACCACATTAGTCCGCGTGAGAAAATTCATTTATTAGTTGAAAGAGATATGTCGGCAACAAGTTGTTTCTACAATTATTTGTTTTACTGTCTTATTACCTTAACTCTGTTAACCCATGCAACAGTTTCTGTAGGTTCTGACTATTTGAGCATTTTATTTGTAGTCTTAGTTACATGAAACCGTTTCATAACTTTGTGACTCGTTTATGAAGCACATAACTAGTTTCACCATTGCTTGCTCGAACCAAGTCTGGATAAAACGGGGTTTGAAACTGTTTCTGGTGTGGTTGAAAGCTAATATCTTTAATCACTAAGCTACGCTCCTCTGTCTCCCGACCGTTGTTGTTGCTACCTTGACGTGGTGGTCGGGCTTGCCTATCGTGATGAAGCAACCGAGCTATACTGGCTGAAACAACCGTTCCTCAAGGTCCTACCATGTCAGGCAGGTCGGTTGAAGAGCGGTAAGACTAAAAGCAACAAACCCAAGGTCCGAAGGCGAAGTCGTACTGCTGACTGTACAGAGGTGTGACAGCAGTAAGGTGTTTGGGATGCGCTTCTCTCCCTCTAAATGCAAGTTGTTGCTTCAGGACTGGTCTGCGTCAACACCTGAACTAAGGATAGGGAGTGAAGTAGTCGATCGCGTTGACAACTTCACTTATCTTGGAAGTGTGATCAGCCCTAATGGGTTGGTATCGGACGAAATCTCAGCACGGATTCGAAAAGCTCGTTTGGCTTTTGCCAACTTACGTCACCTTTGGCGAAGGCGAGATATCCGTCTATCAATAAAAGGACGAGTATACTGCGCGGCACTCCGTTCTGTTTTAATTTACGGCAGCGAAACATGGCCTTTTAAGAGTAGAAAACACCCGTAAGCTACTAGTATTTGACCACAGATGCCTTAGAAATATTGCTGGCATCTGCTGGGATCACCGGGTAAGTAATAGTGCGGTTAGACGCAGGGTATTAGGGAATGATGGTAAATCAATTGATGAGGTTATGAATCTTCATCGACTGAGATGGTTGGGCCACGTATTACGTATGCCTGAACACCGATTACCACGACGTGCAATGCTAACCGGGGTAGGGGATGGTTGGAAGAAAGTTAGGGGCGGCCAAACCAAAACGTGGCATCAGTGCCTGAAGTCACTAACTTCTAGTCTGAGCCATGTTGGTAGATGCAGACTACTTGGTTGGGGTCCGCGTGACTTTCGTAACCAATGGTTGGAGACTCTTGGTGACATGGCTCAGAATCGATCACAGTGGCGTCGGTGTATACACTCCCTGTCTTCCCTTAAACTAAGAGACTAAAATCACTTCATTCTTTCTGTCTACGAACTAATTCTTTCTTCCTATACTATATCCTTATTGCAACCTTTGACCTAACCACTCCTATGAATCCGGTGTTCATCTTGCTGTGCTAATGAGGTATGGCAACCTGGACCGATGCACATATGTGCCTGGTCCTACGTTGTAGCTGACTGACTGACTGACGCTCCTCTGTTGTTGATGGAGTGAAAAGTTATTGGAAGTCATTTATAATTCTCCAGTCTTAAAATCGCTGCTGGTCTTGTAGTCTACATAAGTATCATTCCATTTAATGTTTGTACTGGAAACGATGTATCATATCTATGTTCATGTTGTTTGATATTCCACTGAGTCAGCCGGAAATCCTGAAAAACAGGAAAGTATTGTGATTACTCTAATAATTTAATGAGCTCCTTTGTTACACTTCAATTTATCTAGGTATTTTTAATGTATTATTTTACCCTAACCCGGTATTTCAGTTCAGTGGTTTATGATAATAGCTCTTCATGTGTCACAATTTTTGCTATACTGAAGTACACACTACTAAATCTCAGCGTAACATTTCTCAACAACTATTTGAAAACGACGATACTCAAGTACAATCGTTAATTATCTTTAGTCTTACATCCATTAAGTAGGATTCGCGTCGAATACCTGATTTCTTATGATTTGACCAGTGTCAAAACATCCAAGATCTCTCAGATGAAAATAAACCTATTTGAACTTCTGTATGGAAATCTAATTCATCTTTCACTGCTTAACAAACATTCCACTCTTCTCAATAGTTCGATATCAAACATGAATGTAGAGAAATGCTCCTGTTAGCCTTGTAGACGTCCTTTTTCCTTTATTGACACTACGCGCTGATGCCCAGCTAAGTACTACTATTCATGTTGGTTATATACCATTTCATAGTAAAAAAAGTATACTTAGATCCGTATTTTAGATCTAAGTAAAAGATTTACGCCATTATCATGCCTTTCAGGACTTTTCCTAGGATGTTATCAATGGCACAACGGTAGTGAGAGCAACCACTTATTCTTGTACTGGTTGTTCGAAGTAGTAATGAACTACATATATGCATTCATTTTACGTGCTACGCTATTGTGGAAAGTTTTCAGTGTTTAAAAAGCTCTTTGGTGTACATTTTTGTAACATTTAAACCATATTCCTATTCAACTAATAAAACATATCTTTGATGCCAACCGATATGATTATTGCCTTTCAGCCAGTTAGTATAAATAAACATATGACTTGATAAAAATCTGCTTCAGCCAAATTTGGCATCAGCTCAATCAAGTGAAATTAGCAAGATCAATAATAAGTTTCGAAATAATAGTAGTTACAATTGTAATGAGAAAGATTAAACATTGAAAACTATGGTTTCGGGCAACTTAAGAAATAAAATTTAAGACATGTCATTGAATCTCAGGGTTTAAGTCTGAATACATCTACGCCATTTCAACTGATTTTGAGCCATCTCCAACCACTGATCGCGGTTGTCACACAGAAACCAACCAAAGAGACGACGTTCATTCATATGGCTTAGACCAACAGTAAACGACTTAATGAACTAATTCCATTTATTCACTTAGCCCACCTTAATTTTGTTTAAACCTATTCAGAGAGAATTTCTGTTCAGTCTACTCGCCGCTTCGTTGGCGGATATATATCTCATACAAACCACAAATGATGAAAGTTAGCAGAAACAAAATGTGATTCTTGATATATGCCGGGTATTCTTTGGCGGTAAGGTAACATAAAAATGGGATAATCAGCTTTTAAATGTGTTTCGATAAATGTAAACACAGTTGGTTTATTCACAATCTTGAAGAAGCCTAAACTGCTCTCCTCCAATCAGTTTGTAAACTTCATATTCTTACTCTCCGAATTCTACAAGTACTTACCATTAATGGTAAGAAATTGAATTCTTTTGTAAGTAATCAAAATTATCATGAAAAGGCATTTATCTGATGAATCGCTTATGTAAATGATTAAGTCATAAAGAAAATTTCATTTTATCAATGTCTTCATATTCAAGTAAATGAGAGTATCCACAGAGAAAACCGATTTCTAAACGTTAAATTATTTAAAAAATAACCTACGATGAAATATATTTTGTTTCTCTTAGCGTACCACTATCATTGGTATTAAATAATCTCTATTGCTATTCTTTTACTCAACCTTTATTTGGGTCATTTCGTTGCTATAGTGTGTATAAATTGATCGATCCAAATCAGTACCACATGGTCTTACTTTATCTATAACTTATATTGATAGAGTAAACCTATTTATCTTCTATTTACTTGTTATTGATGTACTGAATAGTTTAATTTGATTGAAATTTACATTTCGTCGTTGTTTAATGTTTAATTTATTCATTCTTTCTCTGATGATTCTTTATATATTTTAGATATTGGTAGATTTCAATTTATTTAAATTATGAAACTTTTAAACACAGAATACAAGAGTAATTATATCAATAATTCAGACAAATCACCAATGATACCTTTTATGAATTATCAGCGTTTGTTTGTTGGTCTACTACCTTCGTCGTATTTAAGATCTAGCTATCATCGAATGGTATGTTAAATAGTTTAATTTGCATTTCTCAATATATATATATTGTATTGATCTATTTTTTGCTGTTTCATAGTAGATTAGACGAGAATTGTTACAAACTTGAAAGTAATATTCAGTACTTATCGACTATACTTACTCCTGTTATCCCTTGTAAAAGAGCATAGGCGACCCACCAGCATTCTCCATCGAACTCTGTATACACACTCTGTCTCCCTTTAAACTAAGAGATTAAAATCGCTTCGTATCTTTCTTTCTGCGTACTAATTCTTTCCTCCTGTACTATATCTTTATATGCAATCTTTCTTTTATATATTACCACCTCTGAATTAACTACTTTTATGAATCCGGTGTCCATCTTGTTGTGTAATGAGGTATGTTAACTTGGACCGATGCATATATGTGCCTGGTCCTACGTTGTAGCTGACTGACTGACTGAGTTGCCATTCATCCCATTCATGTCTGATTCTAATTCCCGACATAGTGTGTTCTTTGGTCTTCCTCTTTCTTGTTTCTCTTCAGGATTCCAAGTTAGTGCTTACTTCTTAATGTAGTTTAATGATTTTCTCAAAGTAGGACCTATCCACTTCCAACATCTTTTCTTAATTTTCTATTTAGATGGAAGGTGTTTTGTTCTCTCCCACAGTAGACTGTTGCTGATGGTATCCGGTCAATAACGGACATTGAGTATCTTGTATAGGCAACTGTTTATAAATACTTATACCCTTTTGATGATGGTTTTGGTAGTTCTCCACGTTTCAGCTCCGTATAATAGAACTAACTGTCTTGACGTTCGTATTGAAGATTGTGACTTTGATATTGGTTGACAGATAATTGTTTTAAGTTCCATATGTTCGTCAAATGTGGGAACGCTGCCGTTGCTTTAAACATCCTTACTTTTGCGTCTGCATCAGGTCCTCGTCGTTCGTCGACGATGATGCTGTCCAGGTAAGTGAGATTCCACCTCTTTCAGAGTTTCCCAATCGAATGTGATTGTTTGGTGTTCTGTGTGTTGTATTTGAGGATGTTGCTTTTCCCTTGTGTATGTTGAGTCCTACTGATGCAGAGAGTGCTGTTACACTGGTTGTCTCCATCTGCATTTGTTGATGTGTGTGGGATAGGAGAGCTAGGTGATCTGAGAAGTCCAAATCGTCTAGTTGCATCAGAGCTATCTATTGTATTCGACTATACAGAATATTAAATTACTATCTTATTTCGTTTAATGGTTTAGCATTACCATGTTGATCAAAATTTTTCACGTTTATCGATTTTCGGGTTTACCATTCTGAGACATATTGTCAGTGTCCATACTGGTCGATTTCTATTTCATTAGTTGCTATGTGGTTGTCACTCTAAACAGCTCGACATGGTTTCAAGTAGTTAGAGGCAGTTTTTCATGCCCATTAATCAATAAATATCTGAAGTTTTCTTAAATAATCAAGATTTTATTATACGAGATTCCAGAATACAGCGATTTGTTCTCTATCGCAAGTTAGTTCCTCCTTGTGGCGAATGGAATAAAGCAACCGCTTGCCTTTATTTACTTGTTAGTTATTAACTTTGAAAAGTTGTTTTGCATCAGTCCTACATATTTCATTAGCGGTGATCCCATTCTGTCTTAGAAGAATCTCTCAATCGTCTGCATTTTCATGTAGTGAAGTAATTCTCAACCCATAACCAATATAATATTGCTAAACCTCATTTAACAACTACCTATCGCATTGTGGTTGATTTGGGTGTATTCAACCAAACATGTGTAATAATCTATTCTAGGTCAACCGAACAAATATACAAGTACATCTTGTTTTAGATTTGCTTTAAGTAACTAGTTTTGCTTGTTAATCGCTTGTTATGATCAAATATTTCTATAAAGAAGCGTACAATCTATTCACAAAGCTAACTACTGAGAAATTCAAAATAAAAACCACCACCATGGTCAGTATATTTCCGTTGTATTTTGGATAAGCAAAAAATAAAGGGATTTGTGCATCAGACACATTACGCGATAAAAAAGGGATTACCATAAAAGCCAACTTGGTGAAAAACATCTATAGGTGAAGATTAGTACTAAATCTCCTCACATCTCAACATCCAGTTAAATTATCCAAAGTAACTAACATATTTTTCACTCTTTTTGCATTGTTTGTTTCTTCATTTTTACAAATGTATTCAGTATGATTTTCTCCTCTCTTCTCTTCTTTTTCTTTCGACTTTTAGCTAAGAAGAGTTATCTATTTGTGCATCGGTATCACACTTCTATTATTTTTATGGTTAGCATTTTACATATCTGATTCAGCATGGTTTAGTAGGCTACTTCAATGTAATCATGACAATAAATTTACAGGTCGTGTATCTATATCCCCGGACCCTTGGAGTAAAACACGTTTTACACATATAAGTGATAACGGTAATATTAATTATCATCATAGTAATAATAAAATTAAACAACAAATAGCAGGAGTAGCAACGACAAAAACCAACTATGTATATGGTGTTGTGTTCGACGCTGGAAGCACTGGAAGCCGTGTTCACATATTCAAACTAGTTCATAATCCCTTAGGTATGTAAAAATATTTTATATATACATATATATCCTACTGTCGAAAATACATTCATCCTAAAATATTCTGTTACTTAGATTAATCTTTTGTTCGTCTTTCCAGCTTAGTTGTTGGATGTTTTGTTGTCATGCTAGACAGCATAGACAAGAATATTGTTTTCACATACAATTTTTATATATTAAAACAATAATGATCCTTATTGAGTGTCTATTTCATTTATTAAATACATAAACATTGATACAAGGGGGCAACAAATAGATATGCGCCACATAGATGATTCGGTTTGTGTGAGGGCTCGGATACTGCCCGGGTGCCCAAAGCAGGCAGTTTTCTTAGGGGGCCACACCTCGAGCCTTTGACATAAAGGTCTGATTCACAAGGCAGTGGAGCAACGTAAGGAGATGCAAACACATGGTGGCCGGTGACCAACAATAGGTTTCTACGCCATTTGTTCCTTCAGGATACTGGAGCCCATGTTCACCATTGGTTTAGAACTAGAGTTTTCCAACTCCCCTAGGTGGACTCTCTGTGTGTCCACCAACCCGGTTAAAGCGCTGGAGTTTCGCTTATCGTTCTCTCAATTTCGTAAACAACAGTGATGCCACGAGAAGGCAGTGAGTAGGACTTCCCTGGCAGTAGTTGTATGCACGTGACCATGTGAGAGCTTTTTTCGAGGGAGAGCTGACTCTCCTCACTCTTGGCCGTACCAGGGCATTTTATACTATTTGAACTAGTAATTATATCAAATTGGATTTCGAGGCGTTTGTTGATTTATGGCCTAAGTGTTTGATTTATTTCCAACATACATTGCGTGAAAAAAGGATCTTTATATGATATTCCGTATTCACCAAATTACAAATTGGGAAAAACAGTAGGATGTAATAGGTTTTCAGAATAAAATGTTATTTCAGTTAATAGTATGACTAATTCAGGTAGATAACTATAGAGCTGATTTCTTTCCAACTTGGCGTAACATGTATGTCGATGATAAATTCAAAGAACGGTAGTGTGTACTTTTTTTGGACCGTCAGTGACTTCAGTGTCATGTCAGTGCGACTCAATAATCACCCTGTAGTATTCGTAGTCAACTCTTATTAGATATAATTCTATCCAGATCAAAGTTACTTCGGATTTGTGAATCACTGTATGAAAATTAATTGCTAAAATCACTAAGTCTTGTCTCTCTGTAGGGTTGACAATTTTTTTAAAGCTTTGTTGTTAACTTCAATACGTTAATCTGTTTACTGCATAGTTGGAATGCACGAAATGATCAATGTTAAGTTGTTAGGAAAGCTCTCAGCCTTGTTTAACACCCAATATCAGCAAGGTGCTCCCTTTGGGAGTTCAAGTCACACATCACTCATTTCCACGGTGGGAAATGCTACCACTGAGCTATTAGGGTCTGTTTATAGATTTAAGATAGTTAAAATGATCAATCACTAAATAGAAACTAGTGTTACGTTTTTCTGGTTCTTAATGATGATTAAATTTTGCTATTCAGTGTTAATAAAAAGAACCCATAGATTGTTAGCATCTAGTGTAGTATAGTTGGTCCAATAATAAACTTGTACGATTTGTTCTTATTTATTATTTATTAGACCACATAAACATTGGTACAAGTAGGCATCAAATACATATGCACCACACAGTAACAATGAGGCCAGTAGTAGTTATCGTTGATTTGTGTGAGGACTGGAATACTACTCGGGTGCTCGTTTGAAACATTCGAACCGAAAAATTACCATAAAATATTAATCATATAGTCTACTACTTGAATAAATGTAATCAAATGGTATAGATTGGCTAGTATGAATAGCCATTTGAACGTATATTAGGGTTGGATTTACACAACATTAATGGTGAAGATTTCCAACCCAAGTAAACTGATTTGCTATTTAACAAATATTCAAAGTACTTAGTTCTATATGAGGTAGATGCTGATGATATTGTCTAGAATGACAATGGAAATTAAATCACATCCAGCTCAGAGAAAATGACACTACTCATACAACATTAGTTCACTCCATTATCAGATTAGTTTAAATTGTTATTGTTACCTTCTTTTGTTCCTTTTGTTCCGTCTATCAATTAATGGACGAGTATACTGCGCGGCAGTTCGTTCTGTTTTACTTTAAGGCTGCGAAACGTGGCCATTAAGAGTAGAAGATATTCGTAAGCTACTAGTATTTGACCACAGATGTCTTAGAAATATTGCTCGCATCTGCTGGGATCACCAGGTAAGTAATAGTGAGGTTCGACGCAGAGTATTAGGCAATGATGGTAATCCAGTTGATGAGGTCGTAAATCTTCATCGACCGAGATGGTTGGGCCACGTGTAACGTATGCGTGAACACCGATTACCACGACGTGCAATACTAACCGGTGTTGGGGATGGTCGGAAGAAAGTTAAGGGCTGCCAAACCAAAACGTGGCATCAGTGCCTGAAGTCACTAAATTCTAGTCTGAGCCATGTTGGTAGATGCAGACTACTTAGTTGGGGTTCACGTGACTGTCATAACCAATGGTTGGAGACTTGGTGACATGGCTCAAAATCGGTCACAATGCAGTCGGTGTATACACTCTCTGTCTTCCCTTAAACTATGAGATTAAAATCGCCTCGTATCTTTCTTTCTACGAACTATCTTTCTTGCTATACTGTATCCTTATATGCAATCTTCCTTTAATATATTACCACCTCTGAATTAATTACTTCTATGAGTCCGGTGTTCATCTTGTGTTAATGAGGTATGGCAACTTGGATCGATGCACATATGTGCCTGATCCTGGCCACGTGCATACAACCACTGCCATCTCGCGGCATTACTGTTGTTTACGAAATTGAGAGGACGGAAAGCGAATGTCCGGCGATTCAACCGGGTTTGTGGATATTGAGGATCTAACTAAGGGAGATGGAAAACTCGGATTCCAAACCAATGCTCCACATGGTCTCCAGGATCCTCAAGGGACAAATGAACCAATTATTGGTTACCGGTTACCATGGGACAGCATCTCCCAAAGTTGCTCCACTTCCTTGTGAATCGGACTTTTGGGTCGAATGCTCCGGTTGTGGCTCCCTAAAAAAACCACGTGCTTCAGATCGGGCACCTGGGCAGTATTGCAGCCCTCTTATAAATCGAATGATTTATGTGGCGCATATCTATTTAGTGCTTCCTTGTACCAATGTTTATGTGTTTAGATAATAATAATAATCTGTTATCGTGTGATGAAATGTACAAAATTCACTAACTCCCTGTATTATTTATCTAACATTAATTACGCGGACAGAGTAGGATTGAACTTACAGTGATCTATCAAGAAAATAAACGATAATTATGAGGTTTTTTTTCGGTTTAACATAGTTTTATTATCTGTGTTCAGAAGATTGACTAAAACTGTTTGTTTTTTTGCATCATATTGTTTTCACTTATTTATTAGATCCTTTCAAACCGTTTAAACTATTGGATGATAAATATCATCATGTTCAACCTGGTTTATCTTCATATGCGGAAAAACCAGAGGAGGCAGCATTAAGTTTAACGAAATTAATTAATATTGCTGAAACTAGTCTTCCTGTTGATGTGTGTCGTAATACTCCAGTTATTTTAAGAGCTACTGCTGGTCTTCGTCTAATTTCTGCGCATAAAGCAGAGAATATTTTAAAAGCTGTATGTTTTTGTTGTTTAATGTATTATTTATTTTTATCTGAAGGGGTTTTTTGTGAAGATTGTAGTAATTTAATAGTTGGGTTTATAAGTCAATTGAAGCTAGACCATCATCGAAAACCTGGAAGCACTGGACGGTTCGAATCTCACGATGTGGGATCGTGGATGCGCACTGCTAAGGAGGAGTCCCGTAATAGGACGAAATGGTCGTCCAGTGCTTCCAGGTTTTCCATAGTGGTCTAGCTTCAATTGACTCATGATTTCAACTAGTGAAATATATTGAAAATGCCAAATTCGACATCGAATCAATCTTAATTATTACATAACACGTCATTTGTAATGTTAAGAGTAGTTACATATAAAGGGCAAGAGATACTACATGTTAAAAGGTGGTAAGTTCGAATCAGTGGATTAAAATGGTTTGTAAAAACAAGTTCTAATACAAGATAAGAATTGAAGATAAAAGGATGACATGGAAGAGAGTGCAAATCACAGTGAAGCGGAGTAAGATTTTTGTATACTAATAAAATTGGAACTGAAAATGAGATAACAAGTTGAATGTATTTTTTCGCGATGCGTAGGTTAGGTTTGCTCGAGTTGATACCAAGTACTTCAGCTATATAGGGTAAGTGTAATCTTTTGCTTTTTGGTAGATAATTAGGAACTGAGAAGGCATTTCCAAACTTAATGTAATGCCTATAGCCAATTAAGTGGGAAAGAATGGCACTATTGATAGACGTCGTAACGCTCTCCATTGAACATGCCGCCAAGTGTTTACGAACGCTTAAAGATAAGGTCCTTTAAGTATGACCAATGTAACTAGCCTAACAGGAACAGTCGAATTGATAAACACGCACAGATGAACCGATCTATAGCATCTTGTCGTCAAGTTGACTGTGTCACTATTGACTTCGTTATGGAAGCCACATGTAATTTGGCGACAATAGAAGTCCTTAGAATGGATCTACTTTGTCAACGTGTTAGAAGTATTTTATATTATTTCGTTGTATTTAAGATTCAATTGACGTGAATATCATCATTTTCAATGTGAAAATGGATTAATTCAAAATTAATATTTCATCTATTTTAACACAATAATAATTTTTGGTTTATAACTGTAAAGTGTAGTGTAAAAAATAATTGTAATAATTGTTTACGTAAACCAATTTCAAAGCACATAATTAGGAAAAGTGTCCAACTACATATGGAAACTACATGTACAATATAGAATAGATGGAATGTAGCTAGCAATAGAACCTAGGACTCGCGTTTCATCCCATTCGGGACTCGTCAACTAGATGTACCTGCATCTTAGAGTTAATTTTCACTCTGGGATGGACAACAAAATAGTTCAAATCATTTCAGATTGAATTACATTCTGATATGTTATTGTCTTTTATTTGTCTCTCTATCCATCCAGGTACGACATAGATTATCTCAAACTTGTTTTAAACAATTACCTAACGCTGTAACTATTATGGATGGATTTTATGAAGGTCTATATTTATGGTTGACATTAAACTTTCTCAATAATCGTTTATCAAATGGAAAAGCACAAAAGAATCATGCAGTGATTGAAAATTCACTTACACAAACAATTGGTACATTAGATCTAGGTGGAGGTTCTACACAAATCACATTTATTCCCACTGAGTTAAATACGCTCAACAATGCACCTGATAATTTTATTACATATTTTGACGTACAAAATAGTAATGATAAACCGAAACAAAAGGTATTGTTGTACATTTTATTGTGTTGTTATTTGTTCACATAAATTTGTGATTCAGTATCTAATTGACTGAAATCTATTTCATTTACATTTTGGGTTTGATTAAATGGATTTAATTACTGTTACCTTTAGATTAACTACTATGAAACTTAGTACTTTGTCATGAACATCTAGTTAGCTAGTGAATTGTACGTTTAAGTTACATCTGTTGGTTATTATAAGTACCGATTCATATGATAAGAAGCAGCACTTATCTATTTTATGCAGTGAAGTTGATTATCTAAATTGTATTCAAATTATAAATTCACTTGGTGTTGTTTTACTTGTATCTTTTCACTGTTATTTAGGACTCCAATTGATCAGTCGCATGTTGGCATATGTGTATCCACTGCGGATTGCCTCGATATAGCCTTAAATCACAAGCTTTTTAAGCAAAGATGGATAGTGGTTAGCAGTGGAATCCTGGGATGCAGGTACATCCGACCGACGAGTCCCAAATAGGACAAAACACACGTCCTGGATTCCATTGCTAGCCACTTTTGAGGCTATGCCATAGAATAGATTTGCAAACAGCCTTTAACTTTTTCACTGTAGTCATATCATGGGTACATTATAGTTTAAAAACGCGTCTTTTCATCTTATCTGTGCATGGTCAGTAAATTATGTTTTTTTAATATGTCTATAACTTATTTAAGTAACCAAATAATATATTCCATTCTAGATCAAATATAATAGATGTATACCTTACAGTAATCGGTCATTTCGTAGAAACCTAAATCATATTATTCAATCCCTGGTGTTAGTCGGTTTTTATCAATGTATACTAGACGAAATATCGATTGGCATAAAAACTGGATCCAGGACTTACTATTATTGATTTCCTCCAACTACTTATCATCAAATAATTACACTACAATGTCAAATCACATAACCTAATAGTTTTGTGATTAAATTGCGGTATTCTACAGGTTTGGATCAGGGCTAGAGATTAGATAGTATGATACTATGGTTACTGCCATTGCGATGGATTAGAGTGAGCCTCCCAACTCTCTATGGGGTTATTTTGACATGTATAGCCTGATGCTGACGGCTTAGTGCCAACTGTTATGAAACCAGTCTTATGGTCTCCTACAGATTGTCCTTAACTATTCAGTAATAGTGTGGGTAGTTATTCACGCTTTAATTTTTTTCTTCTTACAGATCTATTCACATAGTTACTTAGGCCTAGGACTAATGTCTGCACGTTATTCAATGTTATATAATGCAACTGAACATTTTAAGTTAATTACTGAAGGAAAGAAAGAGTTTTTTCATCCTTGCTGGCCTAATAATGTAACTGTAAGTTTAATTTTGTGTATGTTAAACTCTTTATTATTAAATTACTAGATTTTTGTTGAAAACTTTCAGGTATCAGTTTGTTATAACTTGTGACCGCCAATTAGTGGGCAGTGACTAATAGACAGGGCATAATTCAAGAATGGTAAAACGTATAATAATGGTTCATAGGTCAAAATAAAGCTCATAATAAGAGGAACATGAATATGAATAGTTTAGTTATTTAACAATTATACGATAAAAATATACGTTTAGTATTGGTCCATAAAAGGATCCCAACGTTACCATTCATTATGTTTCTCGGGACCTAACACAGTTATAATCAAGATCAAGGATCTGGAAATAGTATGAATCAGGTAAAGTTGTTATACTTTACATATTAACACAACAAAAAAGGTAAACATTAACAGGACCTTAAACAAAAGATCAATAATAATAATATTAATAATAACCATAGTATTAAGTTAAGAAATGGTGGAACATAATTTATGAAGTACAAACATTCAATGTTTGATTGGTGTGAATGTTCTTTCTACGAACTAATTCTCTTTTCCTGTACTATGTTCTTATGTGCAATCTTTCTTTTATATATTACCACCACTGAGTTAACTACTTCTATGAATCCGGTGTTCATGTTGTTGTGCTAATGCGGTATGGCTACTTGGACCGATACACATATATGCCTGATCCTACTTTGTAGCTGACTAACTGGTTTGAATTTGTAATTGGTTAGAAACTACTTAAAATCACTTGTGGTAAACATTGTAAACACTTAACAATACTTGAACTCAATCTCTGTTCTATCATGTACATACAATCAAAGTCTAAAACTGTTATAACTTATGCCCTGTGTCCTATTAATGTATAACGTGATGATACCGCCAATTAGATAACAGTGAATTATTGATTGGACCAATATTGTGTAAAACCCGTACGAGCAGTCTAGAGTACTTATCGGTCCTGCTTCCTGCCTAGCCCAGCCAGTTAAGTTCGGAACATCAATCTCAGCCTTCGCGATATAAATCATGTATTTTAAGCATACCGGGTTTATATACTAACCGAACAGACTACATCGTACCATAAAATAGGAAACAACATTTGTACAAGAATTAGCCAAATGTGGCTGTGAATAAGGGAGGTAGTAATTGATAGACAGGGCATAATTCAAGAATAGTAAATCGTACAATAATAGTTCATAGATCAAAATAAAGTTCATAATAAGAGGGGCATGAATATGAATAGTTTATTTACTTAACATTGATACAATAAAAATATATGCATAGTATTAGTCGAGAAATAGATTTCGACAGTTACCGCCATTCATTATTCTCATCGGGATATAACAAAAACAATCATCAAACGTCTTTAAAAATAATCTATATTCGTTTTGATTATTGATGGGACTCTAACTTTAAGTGTTTCATCTGAACCGAATCATACTTTTTAATCGTGCAATGATTCTCTCGTTTTGTTTAACCACATGATATATGTGTAATATTTTTCAAGAAATACGAATCTAATACAGTAGCTGTTATATCCTAGCGAAGATTAAATTACGAGTAACTTCTGAGAACTATTAGTGGACAACAGTAATAGTTGTCGGCTTCTGTATATTTTCGTCTATTCATTATCATTCATTATTGTTCTTTATTTAGCTTAAATGGAATCATGCCGGTAAAGATTGGCAAATCAGTCGTATGAATCATTCAATGTCTAAATCTTTATTATCATTTATTAAAACAAAATCAATTTATCATCATCAAGCAGCAATTGAACCGGTCAATGTTAATGCTAATAATATTGATAATGATCATCTAATGTTGTGCTATGCTTTAGCAGTGAATGTATTACAAAATCCTGTTGAAGGTAAGCAAAATTTGATCTGATTAACTTATACTTATATATAATCTGGTGTACGTGTGTGTGTGTGACAATTATTGAGTATCTGTTAGTCATAAGCAGCATAAAATAGGGTACAAATATGTATCGGCTGAATTTGCCACACCATATCAATTACCTAGATAAATACTAAGGGAATCGAAATAACATCGATACAATGATACTGAAATATAACTAAATGTTAAGAATATAATTTCATTAGTTGAGATCATGATTGTCACTCAATTTTGTGGATTGGTTGAAGTTAGACATTAACACCATTGGATGCCGGCTCAATGGTCCAGTCGTTAAGTACTCGCGCGCGAGACCAGTAGGTCCTGGGTTTGAGTCCCGCGAGGCGGCGTCGTGGATGTGCACTGCTGAGGAGTCCCACAATGGGACGAAACAGCCGTCCAGTGCTTTCAGGTTCTCCATGGTGGTCTAGCTTCAATTGACTCATGATATCAACTATTGAAATTACTACAATCTCCACAAAACCCCTTCTGATGGTTAGAATATAGTTTGAGAAGTAAAATTCAGAAAGCTAAACAGACTGGATCTACTGACATGTCTCAAAGTAACTGTCATTGACACTTAATGAACTGATGTCACATTTTAGTTTGATCTCACTAGCTTTCTTCTAACCTACTACTTTCATACATCTTTTCCGACATGTACTTCTTACATTATTTCTACTACTGTCTATATTAATAAAGATTTCGATTTCTCATCTGTATTATCTATTGGTAAACTTTGCACCTACTCAACAACAACAGTGAAAACATACTGCATACATGTATGTTTTTAGCTGACATGGTTTAATGCTCATTTTAATGTGATATCAGACAAGTTCATAACTGTAATCGTATAACCTGACAGTATATAATTTCTTGAATAGAACTGATCAAATAATTATGATTAATACTTAACTAATTTATATGCATGTTTGTAACTTTGATTCAACAATACAATTAAATCCGTTCTTTATTGTTTCAAAACTTGTCACTTTACATATATGAATAATATAACTGGGCTGCAGGTACATCCAGTTGACGAGTCCCAAATAGGACGAAACACGCGTCCTGGATTCCATTGTATTTCTTTGCTTAAAACCTTGTGACTTAAGGCTATATCGAAGCAATGCACATAGGATGTATAGGATAAGAGTAAACAATATAAAGTGAATATGAATATTATATGTTATATTCAATAACATATATTTAATTAAAATATATAATTCTCAGCATAAATGATTCAATATTGAATCACATTATTTATCATTTACCCAGTAAATAATTAAAAATTGTCTATAAAAGATTTCTTATTCTATGATTAACTGTCATTCATATTCAGTCTTAAATCTTTATGAATAGTCTTGTATTCTTAACATCTATCTTCGTCGTCAAATATGTTCAATGTTTAAATCATATGAGTGATGCCCCCAAATGCCCTGGTATGGCCGAGAGTGGGAAGGGCCCACCCTCCCCCTCTAAATGCTCTCACACGGCCACGCGTATACAGCCACTGCCAGGGAAGTCCTACTCACTGCCTTCTCGTGACGGGGGTGTTGTTTACGAAAATGAGAGGACGAAAAGCGAATGTCCGGCGCTTTAACGGGACCCCAAACCAAAGCAATGGTGCACATGGGCTCCAGTATCCTGCGGGAACAAACGGCGTATGAACCAATCGTTGGTCACCAGCTACCATGGGAATGCATCTCCTTACGATGCTCCACTGCCTTGTGGGTTAGACTTTTAGGTCAAAGTCTAGGGGTGTAGCCCCCTAAGAAAACCACCTTCTTTGGTCTGGGCACCCGGGCAGTATTACAACCCACACACACACAAATATGGTGTGGCGCATATATATTTGGTGCCCTCTTGTACCAATATTTATGTGTTGAAATAATAGATAATAATATAATAATCATTAGTGATAACGTCTTGTTTCTTCAGTATGGTAAAAGAGCAAAGGAAAATTATTTGAATGATCATGGTGGTACTTTTTTTAGTTTATCAGTAGTTAGTTTTCAGTTAGATTAGGAACCGCGTAAATTTACGAGGTTAACAGATATAATTATTTAATTAAAACAAACTTCATGTAACAAAAACAGGCCTAGAACGCACACTTGAGAAAAAAGTGATTTGAACATATACATACTTCATATTATGTAATAGTTCAATAGTTTGATCAGAGGCAGTAGAAATACATATACCTTATTAAATAACCTATTGCTAACGAATGATATTAAAATCCTATACAACTATGCGTTATTGACTAATTGTACATACTCATGTATTAATTTAGCTATTAGTTTAACTTAATTAGTTATCTACAACATAGGACCAGGCACATATATGCATCTGTTCAAGTTGGCATAGCTCATTAATACAACAAGTTGAACACCAAATTCATAGAAGTAGTTACTTCTATGGTAGTAAAAAAACATTTCATATAAGGATATGATACAGGAAGAAAGAATTAGTTCGTGGAAAGAAAGGTGTAAAATAATTTCAATCTCACCGTTTAAAGGAAGATAGAGAATGTATTCACCTATATCATTGTGATGGATTCTGAGTTATGTCAAACAGAGTCTCCAAGCACTGGTTACGATAGTGGCGCGGACCAAACCAAGTAGTCTGAATCTACCAATATGGCTGGGGCCAGTATGGCTTAAGCAAATACGTGTTCGTGTTAGAGTGTGGTCAAAGTCTAAACACGTATTCCAGAACAAGCGTCAGTTTTCCATCGAATCTCTGCAACGATGATTGATGGTAATAAGGTCTATTTGAGTCCATCGTTGGTTTGGTGAAGGGGGTCGCCATGTTAGACGATGTCTCTCCTTATGCTAAAAATAAACGATCGTCTGAGCACAGTTGCAGCAGACGGTCACTAGTATCCGTCCTCTGGCCCGAAATACCAAAATACCCACCTAAATATCTTTCCGTTTTGTTTAAGCTACCTAATGGAGCATTAAAGTCACCTACTACGAGTACTATGACTGAGTGTTTAGCTTTTTGAAGAAGTTCAGAAAGCTTTCTATAAAACTCATTTTTCATTTCATCCGGGCTGCAGTCAGTGGGATCGCAGACAGAAACGATGAAAAGGCAACGAGGTGTGTCCCTTTCCTTCCGAGTTCTTACAGAGCCGTTTAGCCGAACAGCACATAGACGACTGTTAACAGGGATCTAATAGTGCTTGTTCTGCCCTCGTACTTAGTGCTATGCTTACACCTACCAGTCCACGAGAACTGGATCGCCAGATAAACGGAGGGTGTGTCTCTTCGTCTCTCTGTTTTGGCAAAGTGAGGTGAAGTGAATGACCACACTGGGATCCTGTATGCGTGTGTCGGAGACACAGCATACATCAATGGCACAAGATCCTAGGGTCTCAGACAAGGAGACCTGCTGACCGATTTGACATACGTACGTACTTACGTACGTTGACGGCTTCAATGTGTAGCTTGGAGCGAGGTTTCAGTGGACCTGGAACAGTGTTTTGCGCACTAGAATCGTTGGCTATGGTGACACTTGGGGAGGAAGTCGAAAGAGGAAGTTTAGCATTGAAAGTCGATGTAAGAGGAATAATAGGAATTGTAGAGGGAGGTTGATTATGAATACAGTGATCTTGAGTGCTGTTAGAGGTATGAGGGCCGTTATCACTTCCCGGTCGCCCACACTGTAAAAGGGTTCTTCTGGAGGTATCTGAAAAGGAAAGTGGACTAGAGGTGGTCTTGTAGTGAACAGAACGCGGGTGGGGATAGTCGAATGTATTCAACACAAAATTACAGGACTTGTTAATAAAAACCAACAATCATGAAGTAAATGCTTAATTTGCAAAATGTCCACCAATTGTCTCAAGATGACTCAGACTTCATTGTTCTTGTATTTTCATACAAATTGCATCCTGTTTCCATTATTCACTTTTCGATCCTCTTGTCTCTGCTCCCAGACCTTCTGTTCACGACTGACATCATATACTACTTATATCATTATAAGTAGCACACACAGTCTTAGTGACCTGAGAGCTTGACCGCAGCGCCCAAGGGACAACTGCTTGAGGTCGGTCACACACGACCTTTTTGTGGGTAATTTTCGTGTTAGCTCCATACTTGTTGGGAGACGGATATCTGTGGGATAAGGCGAGGTGTTCATTTTTAAGGTCAACCTTTTCTAACCCTACCTGTTGGGATATTCAGGAAAATATCCCATCCCCGTCGCCACTGTTATTATTTCTTCCTTACAGCTATGACCCAGCTATTCCTATTGCTTAGTATTCTCGGACACCGATTCACTCGACAACTCCCCAAATCAGAACACGGTTGACCAGAAAGAGATTATATTCCAGATAACAAAGTTAGATGGAAGTAAGGAGCACAATAGGGAGAACGTTAGTATATTTATTGTTTTTACATGAGAAGATTCTAGAGTATTCTCGAAATATCAACTAGTGCTGATTGGATAAGAATTAGCCAATCAGTGTGCACCAAAATAATCGTGCATTGAGTATGCTTTAATCCAGTGTATGTCCCGCTAACACCACCCCTCCTTGTTTTAAGGCAGCATCGCTGTTATGCTGGTTGTCTGAAGGAAACGCCTCCCTGCCGTCACATCTCTGTACAGTGAGCTGTACGACTTTGCCTTTGGGCCTTAGATTTGCTGCTTTTAGTCTTACCGCTCTTTAACCAACCTGCCTGGCATAGTAGGAACTTGAAGAACGATTGTTCCAGCCAGTATATCCCGATTGGTTCATCACAATAGACAAGCCCGACTACCACGTCAAGGTAGCAGCAACGTTCGGCTATAGTTTTTATTGATATATATGGTAATAATACCAATAAAAAAAAACTAACTACTACTTAGAATAAATTAGGCAAGACAGTTAAGTTGTTAAATTTACAACCTAATAATTAAAAGTCGATTGCTTCAAAGTATTAGAACATTACTTTATCTACCTACCTACTTACCTACCCATACACCTACTTGCCTAATTAATTTTATCATCATTTTGTCAACTGAAGAATATAATTGGGATAAAAATTTACAAATCAACATTCTTCAGAAAATCTTCTTTGTTATAGGCTCATTCAATAAGGTTATTGTCAGGTTTGTTTTCCTTTAATCAATGTGATTTTTGTTTGTTATTGTTGTTGTTGTTCTTTTCCCATTGTGATAAACAATCAATTCACTTCTTTTCTTTTCATTGTTAATAGGTGATATAAATGTTATCAGATATCCACCAAACAATAATATTGTTCATCAACCAGTGGAAGTGAAAACACGTGAATTTTATGCATTTTCATATTATTTCGATTTAGCTGTTAGTGTTGGTTTAATACATGAAAATACTGGTGGATTTCTTACAGTGAATGATTTTCAAAATGCTGCTGAACGAGGTAGGTATTTTTCTTCTTGGTTTTTTTTTTAAAAAAAAAAATTATTTTTGTTTTGTATCCCATATCACCATTGTGTTCGAAAAGTTTAAGTTTTAGCCATTACGTAACTAATGGTTGCTCTGGTTGTCAGAAAGGGCATCAACCTCGTGACTTCCGAAGGAGCGCGGCTATCATCATGAGGCGTCATAACTCATCTAAATGAAGACCTTCTAACTCCCATGACAGAGATTAAATAATTTGAATTATTTTTTTCTGGTTTGTGTTTTTTTAACGAGTTACTTTTCTACGAAATGTGGTTGCTAACCTCATGCTCAACTCTCTTCCTTTATCCTGGCTTTGAACCGGAAATTAAGTGTAGAAGTAACGGAGGTGGTTGCTTCGATGATGCGACTCCGTAGAATAATCTCTTTTCAAGTGAACACTTATTGACATATCACAACTTCTCAAAAAGCTAAACTAATTAATTACTGACTAATGTGATTACCAAACATTAAACAAGATAGAGGCCAAGAAAAATCGTTCTCTAGTTTTATATTATTGTGAAACATAGATGAACGAACGGTTTTATTAAAAATACCAGGTGATCATTGATAGTATGTCAGGTCTATTCAAACCTTAAAAATATTTCTTATTACAATTTATTTATTTATTTATTTAAACGCATAAACATTGGTACAAGAAGGCAACAAATAGATATACGCCATATAAATAATTCAGTTTGTGGTTTTCTTAGGGGGCCGTACCCCGAGCCTTCGACCCAAAGGTCTGATTCACAAGGCAGTGGAGCAACGTTAGGATATGCAGCCAAAATTAAGTTCATACGCCTTTTGTTCCTTCAGGATACTGGAGCCCATGTGCACCATTGGTTTGGAATTAGAGTTTTCCAACTCACCTAGGTGAACTCGGTTTCCACCAACCCGGTTGCAGCACTGGACATTTGCTTTTCGTCCTCTCAACTTCGCAAACAATAGTAATGCCACGAGAAGGTAGTGAGTAGGACTTCCCTGGCAGTGGCTGTATACGCGTGGCCATGTGAGAGCATTTGAAGAGGGATTGCTGACTCTCCACACTCTCGGCTGTACCAGGGTATTACTGATATCCATTACTTATTGGTGATACTAAGATTTTCCTAACACTCAGTTATCATCTTGTGAACGTGATGAATACAACTGTACACATTTTCCTTGTTGTAAAAGCCCAGAAGTTACTTAAGATTAACCTCTGTTACTTCAGGTTTCAATGTCACTTTATTGAATATCATCCTGCATAGAGAGTTCATCATGAAAATTCTTACTCTTAAATCCAAGTTCATTTCTAGAAAAAGGATAATGAACATTTTTATACTTAAAATTTTCTAGATCATAAAATACTTCCTTTGTCATCAACGAGTTGAGTTCAGTGAATGTTGAAGTTTTCCAACATTCATTTATAGTATATTCAGCTTGATTGTTTATTATTTCCATCTCAAGATCATAATTAGCAATCTCGTTGAGCCCCCAAATGCCATGGTACGACCGAGGGTGAGGAGAGTTCATTCTTCCTCTCGAAATACTCTCACATGGCCACATGCATGCAACCTCTGGCAGGGAAGTCCTACTCACTGCATTCTCGCGGCATTACTGTTATTCACAAAATTGAGAGGACAAAAAGCGAATGTTCGGTGCTTTAACAGGGTTGGCGGATATAGAGAATCCACTTTGGGGAGTTGAAAATCCCTGATTCCAAACCAATGGCGCACATGAGCTGCAGGATTCTGAAGGAACAAATAGGCATGAACGAATTATTGGTCACCGGCTACCATGTGATTGCATCTCCTTACGTTGCTCCACTGCCTTGTAGATCAGAACTTTTGGTCGAAGGCTTCGGGTGTAACATCCTAAGAAAACCACCTGCATCGGTTTTGGCACCCGGACAGCATCACAGCCCACACACAAATCAAGTGACTTGTGTGGTGCATATGTATTCAGTGTCCTTTTGTACCGATATTTATGTGTTCAAATAAATAAATAAAACCCTTCTTGACTCTTGAAATTCGACAAACATATTTAGTAGACTCTAGCTAGACCATTCTCAATATTGAAAAATGTGTGTAATCATGTGCCTTAAGTCACTTAAATTTCCGATTAGCTTTGATTTCGAGCTTTATTCATTACATTTTCGATCACTGAAGTAAAGTTACAATCTCATCTCTTTATAAGAGTCTAAATGCTTAATATTAGTGTCTTTTACCATTGTATGTCACTATATTGCTTCAAATCTCTATGACAGTATGGATTTCTTCAAAATTACAAGTGATGTTCTTTATTGACTAATAGTACCAGTTGATTATACAGTGGTCTTGAGTGCTGTTAGAGGTATGAGGGCCGTTATCACTTCCCGGTTGCCCACACTGTGGAAGGGTTTTTCTGGAGGTACCTGAAAAGGAAATTGGATTAGAGGTGGTCTTAGTGACATGGGAGCGTGACAGCAGTGCCCAAGGGACAACTGCTTGAGGTCGGCCACACTCGACCTTTTTATGAGTAATTTTTGTGTTAGCTCCGCACTTGTTGAGACCTTACCGCCGGAGACGGATATCCGTGGGATAAGGTCGAGGTGTGCATTTTTAGGGTCGACCTTTTCTAATCTCACCCCTCTTTGTGGGAAGGCAGCATCGCTGTCATGCTGGTTGTCTGAAGGAAACACCTTACTGCTGTCACATCTCTGTACAGTGAGCAGTACGACTTCGCCTTCGGACCTTGGGTTTGTTGCTTTTAGTCTTAGCGCTCTTCAATCGACCTTTCTGACGTGGTAGGACCTTGAGGAACAGTTGTTCCAGTCAGTATAGCTCGGTTGCTTCATCACGATAGGCAAGCTCGACCACCACGTCAAGGTAGCAACAACGGTCGGGACTAATAGTACCAACTAGCTACAAAGATTATTTTTACTCTTTCCTATCCAATTTCTTCAACCATATATATATGTTTGTTTTCTTTAAGAATACTTAAATATTCTTTTGTAAATATCAAGTCAATTAGCCTATGTTTGTTTAATTCAATGATCATTCTACATTTAGTTTTAAGGCTAATCGATTGAAATTAATTATAGTACAATGGTTTACACCCTTGTTTAGATATTCCATATACGAGTGTGTGAAGTTTCATTCCAGCAAAATTGATTATTTTATGCGAATTGTAGAGAGAGATAGACCACTAAATTACATTTCAATGGTGTTTAGTTAAAATCATCTTAGAGTTTTCTTTCTTTCGTTTAATTAACTGATAAAAGTAAGGTTAATTGATCCTTCGAAACTAATTGGTTAATTCATACATAAAGCTTACACATGTAAATAATTTAGTTCTATGAAGTGTTGCTAATGCGTTTGTTATCAATGTAGGGATTTGTAAAGAGATTGTAGTATTTTCATAGTTGACACTACGAGTCGATCTAAACTAGATCGTTGTTGAGAACCTGAAGACACTGAACGACCATATAGTGGTCAGAGGTAGTCGACAGGAAACTCTGGACCCGGGTTTCGTGCTACTTGGCACTCATCAGCAAGGTGTACCTGTAATCTTGAGGGAACTGGTGCTCCCTGACGGAACGACCGTTTTGTCTTAGTGTGGAACTTCTCAGCAATGCGTATCTACGATCCCACACGCATGACTCGAACACAGGGCTTTCGGTTTCGCGCGCGAATACTTAACGTCTAGATCACTGAGCCGGCATCCAGTGGTGTTAATGTCTAACTTCAATCAATCCATGACCTTGTTCAACTTTTCATCGATTGCCTGAAGTAGATAACTATTTCACAACTGACACGGAGTCTCATACTAGCACAAAACGGCCGTCCAGTGTTTCTGTGTTTTCAATGGTGGTCTATCTTAGATCAAATTGTGATTTTAACTATGATAATTCATTTGTTACTGGTACATGCTGGGGAATATCAAAGAAGATTTCATACAATTGTTTTAAAGTGTGTAACGTTGGAGTATAATGCCATGCTATAACAGTATGAATCGTTGCATATATTTCTCTCAGGTCCTAAGTGTTGATAATGATAGACAGGTTGACTAATTTGGACAATATTTCATTGTTCTTTCATCATGGATAAGTTAAAGTCTCCCTTTTTTTAATAGTATAGCCAGTTCCCTTGTTCAATTTTCGTGAAGTACAAAAACAATAAGTGAATAGATTTCGTCATTTCATATAATCCAAGCATCGACATATTCACGAATTTGTATAATTAAATAAAATGTAATTTTGTTGTATAACATGCATACAAATCATTTAAATCATTAGTATATAGTGATTGATTATTCGTGTTTACTGTTTATCAATGATTGAAATAAGTGAAAGTGACCATAATATAACCGACTACATAAAGCGTGTATATTTAAAACTTAGTTCTTGCCAACCGTACCTTGAACTCAAAGTTTATTTTTGTTTATCAACTCATCCATCTGGTACACTTGGGCATGAACCACATTCTAAGTATGGGAGCTGATGATAATATTATCCATTTGCTCAAACTAAAGTATGTGGAGCGGGATTCGAATCCCCACTACCTTGTGAATTCTAAGTAAAACAAACACAGTAAATAATTCTAAAGAAATCCAGTTCTTCCAGTGTATTTGTAATATTTTTTTCCCATTCCTATTTATGTCCTCTTCATCTTCACAGTTTGTCGTAACCCAAATCCTCAGAAACCATTCGATTGCATGGATCTTAGTTTTATCACTGCATTATTGCATAGTGGTTATGGGTTCCCGTCAGATAAAAAAATTGGAGTAAGTTTCACTTTTTGGTTAATGATAATAAGTTTTGAAAGATCTTTTTTTCTTAATCTGTAATGATTAAATTTTCAATATGAAAATGACAAATAAATGAAAATACAATCTAAGTTTAAACCATTGATCATTCAAATAGGTGATGTGTTTTCTTTGACATATATTATTTGTTTCTTTGTATGTATGTGTGTACGATCATAACCACTATCTAATTACTTGGCGTTGTTTCACTTGTATCTTCCCATTGTTATTTAAGACTGCAATCAATCAATCTCTTGTTAGCATATATCCATCCTGTACGCATTGCCTGGATACAGCCTTAAGTCACAATCTTTTTTCAGCAAAGATGAATTATGGCTGTCAGTGAAATGCAGAACTCGGATTTCGTCCTATTTTTGGGACTCATCAGTTGGATGTACCTGCATCTCAGAGTTGATGTTCACTATGGAATTCGAATATCCACTCTGAGATGTAGGTACATTCAATTGACAATTCCCTAATAGATTGAATTGTGTATCCTGAATTCCAGTACTAATCACTATTCATCTTTTCTTAAAAATTATTATCTAATTAATTAATCATTTTCCATTCTATTGCTTTCTATTTAATTTAATAAACAATTCTAATGATTGTGATAAAGTTTTTGTTCTCTGAGCTGGATGGTTTGGTCGTGGAGCTTTCATCGTTCTTCTGAACGACATCATCAGCACAAACTTCAGATAGAAGTGACGTGTTCGATTTTCTCCATATGTGTTTCACAGCTTGTTCTGTGCACCTCGATGTTGATTGGTTCTTGTTGAACTTAAATTTATCATTGTTCACTTCTTTGTTTTGGTTGTGTCTCCCATTGTTTTGATTTTTGTTCTTATATATATGCATGATTTTCCTGATTGGTTGATAAATTGGATTGATTTCAATATGTTTGTTGATTGCTGATTGACCTGAGTGCCAGGCTTCTAGAAATTCTCTGGTGTTTTTGGAGTTTCCTCTGTCTAAGATTTCTACATTTTCCCAATCGAATGAGTGTCCGTAGTTATCCACGTGTATTGAAATAAGTGAAAAGATATCATGGCGTTTGACTGCTAATTGATGTTCATGTAGGCGTAGGTGGAGGGGACGTCCGCTTTGTCCGATTTAGTGTTTGTCGCAGTTGGTACAATTTATTTTGTAGATAATGTTTGATTTGTTCTCCTTTGTTATTTCATCTTTTGGTTTGCATAAGATTGATTGTAGTGATTTTGTTGGTTTGTGTGCCACACCTATCCCGAAGGTTTTCAACAGTCTCGTTGCAGTTTCTGATATTCCTTGTATGTACGGTAGGGTGATCCTTTTACTGATTTTTGTGCTTGACTTGGGTTGTGATGCTGTGTGCCGTTGGTGCTTTTTGATGAAATTGATTGGGTAGCCGTTCTTTTGGAATATGTCCTTCAGGTATTTCTCTTCATTTCTTCGTGCTGCCAGTGTGCTGCAGTGTGTCTTCGCCCTCTTGAACAATGTGTGTACGCAGTTGATTTTGTGAGCCCTTGGGTTGTTGCTGTTGTAGTTGAGAATTTGATCTGTATGGATTGGTTTCCTATATACTTGAGTTTCCACCATCTCAAATTCTAATGATTAAATTAATTTATTGATTTTTGATCATCTCATCATCAGTACACTTTTTATTATGTAATTGTACTCATGAAAATATCATTGAATGTTAAGTGCAAAAACAAAAAGGTTTTATACGTCATGTTATTACATCAAAAAACTACATTAATTAGATAATAAATTTTATAATTTGATTCTATGAAAATATTAGAATTCTGTGAGAGATTATGACAGATTATGAGAGATCTACTGACTTCAACTCGACCAGAATGAATCTAATTAGCAGAATTCTCTCTAAAAAGGTATATTCATGTTAAATTTGATAAAGATAAAAAAAATTTTGTAGATAATTTCAAGTCACCATATCTGATTATACAAACATATTATGATATCAAGATGAGGTGTTTTCAATGTTGATTCATTTTTATATATTAGAGAATTCTATTATGAAATCATCACTTCTTTCAAATGATCTATCAGCTATATAGAAACAACCTAATAACTCTGAAGAAGATGAGAATCTACATTCCATTTTTTGTCGCCACATTTTGGTTTGACCGGCCTTAACTTTCTTCCAACCATCCCCAACACCGGTTAGCATTGCACATCGTGGTAATCGGTGTTCAGGCATATGTAACACGTGGCCCAACCATCTCAGTCGATGAAGATTCATAACCTCATCAACTGATTTACCATCATTCCCTAATACCCTACGTCGAACCTCACTATTACTTACCCGGTGATCCCAGCAGATGCCAGCAATATTTCTAAAGCATCTCTGATCAAATCGTAGTAACTTATGAGTATCTTCTACTCTTAATGGCCATGTTTCGCTGCCGTAAATTAAAACAGAACGGACTGCCACGCAGTATACTCGTCCTTTTATTGATAGACGGATATCTCGCCTTCGCCAAAGGTGACGTAAGTTGGCAAAAGCCAAGCGAGACACCAACTTATTAGGGCTGACCAGACTTCCAAGATAAGCAAACTTTTCAACGCGTCCGACTACTTCACTCCCTATCCTTAGTTCAGGTGTTGACTTCTGGTTTGAGCCATGTTGGTAGATGCAGACTACTTGGTTGGGGTCCGCGTGACTATCGTAACCAATGGTTGGAGATTCTTGGTGACATGGATCAGAATCGATCACAATGGTGTTGGTGTATACACTCTGTCTTCCCTTAAACTAAGAGATTAAAATCGCTACATATCTTTCTTTCTACGAACTATCTTTCTTGCTATACTATATCCTTGTATGCAATCTTTCTTTTATATATAACCACCTCTAAATTAACTGTTTTTATGAATCTGGTGTCCATCTTGTTGTGTTAATGAGGTATGGCAACTTGGACCGATGCATGTATGTGCCTGGTCCTACGTTGTAGCTGACTGACTGACTATTAAAATGGTTCAAAAGAAAGGCTAGTAGCCGAAATACTTTATGTGCTAAGAAATTTCAATAGTTATGATCATGAGTCAATTGAAGCTAGACCATCATGGAAATCCTAGAAGCACTAGACGACCGGTTCGTCCTATTGTGGGACTCCTCAGCAGTGCGTATCCACGACCCGGCCTCGTGGTATTTGAACCCAGGACCTTCCAGGTTTTTCATGGCGGTCTAGCTTCAATTGACTCATGATCTGAAGTATTGAAATTACTACAATCTCCACAAAACCCTTTCTGTTACTACTAAATTGTTCTGTGCTCAACAAAAAGGAAGGTCTTACAAATTGACTGACTTGAACAATCTTCCAAAACAGTCAAACTCAACTTATCCAAAGTCATATAAAACCATTGTTCATCTAAATCTCCAATATTACGAAATGACTAGAGTTAGAAATGTATCGGATCATATTTGTCTACCCACAAATTCTGAGATTCTCAGTTCCTCATAATTTCTTTTTTTTTGTGTGTATTTTTATTTCACTAATTTATATTTTCTTTCCGAGTCATATCTTCGATGTCAAACTTTTTTATTTATTAACACTGATACTGTTACCGCCTCTACTATCCTGGAATTCGATTATGACAACCTAAACTAATGTACATATGGATCAGGTTGTTTGAAGCGTTCGACTGACTAGCTCATGACTATATTGTAAATGAATAAATGATTATCCACTTATTCATTCTTGTCATATGTTTCTCTTTTGTTTGAATTTTTCTTATGAATCATAGAAACACTCTATTTATGAGTAGTAATGTGCTGATAGTATTTACCAATAAAAAACAACAGCAACAACTGATAGCTGATAACATGTGCATATTTGAAACGAATTCATTTAACTTAGTTTTGAACTATTTTAAATATGAGCAAAGATGAATACTGGCTAGCAGTGGAATCCAGGACGCGCGTTTCGTCCTGTTTGGGACTCTTCAGCAGGATGTACCTGCATCTCAGAGTTGATGTTCACTCTGGGACTCGAACTCAGTACCGTTCACTTCAAACGCCATCGCGTTATCCACTTAGCAACTGAGTCCTGATAGCTACTTGCTTGTGCAATGGGGTGAAGTTTAATTCACTTGATATTGTTTTATTTGAATTTTCCCATTGATGTTTTAGGACTGAAATTGATCAGTCTCTTATTGGCATATGTGCATACTGTGCGTATGCCTCAATATTGCCTTAATTTACGCGTCCTGGATTCCATTGCTAACCACTATTCATCTTTGCTTATAATGCTTGTAAATTAAGGCAATCCTAAAACATCAATGGGAAGATTCAAGTAAAACAATGCCAAGTGAAATATTTTAAATATGGTTTGAATGATTTTTTTTTCTGGTTAGCGTTTTATTTTTAGCGAGTTCGTTTTCTACAGGATAAGATCGTTAACCCCTATGCTCAACCCCCTCCTCTTTCTTTTATCCGGGCTTGAGACTGGCAACAGCCTTAGAACGGTTTTAGATGGAGTTACATGAGTTTAAAATTTAGATATAATAATAAGTAAATGTATGATTGTAACGTTCTTCTCTCTTTTTTTTTGCTCTACAGTTTTTTAAAAAAGTCAATTCTTTTGAAATTAATTGGAGTCTTGGTGCCTTATTTTCAGAAATGTATCATAAATAAAACTGCCTGAGAAAATAAAGGATATTACATTCATTACAACATTATTGTTCTTTACTTTGTATGATACATACATTAGTTATATCGATCAGATTTCTTTTCTTTTATATATATTTGAAGAAAAAAAAGTTTTATGAACTCCATATTCTTTTTTTTTAAATCTATTTTTATCAACTTCCTTAATACCTACCTACCCACCTACCTGCCTACTACTACTACTACTACTACTACTGTTAGTAACAATAGGGTCTATATTGTTTTTTTTAAATGGTATGTTGTTGTATGACAACTATTTAATGCAATGATTGCATATATATATGTTAAATTTTAATCCTGTTTTTGTTCTCTTCTTTTCTTTTTGTTTATTCATTTACTTTACATTTACGTACGTAACATTCAATGAATCTAATAAGTATTTGTTATAATGAATCCAACTGGAAAAACTTTTTTTTTCATCCTTTAAAATTGCTCAGATCAAATGTTAACACCGTTTATTTTCAGCTCTTAAATTGTTCTTTTTTTTCTCTCTCTCTCTTCTGTTTCTGAGTGTAGATAAAGTCTTTTCATTATCATTTTAAAAAAAGAGATTATTTAGTTGATATTCTCAGCATAGTCAACTATTCAAATCTAGTTCGATCTGATTCTTTCAATATAATCTTAGAACGTTATCTTAATACTTTTTCGTCACAAATTATTCATTTGTCAAGCTTTTTAAGTTATGTAATTTCAACAGATAATGTTTGTTTGTTTGTTTTTAAATTACACTGCTTGATGGGTTGAACACTTCAATGAATTAGGTAAATGATGGATAATACAGACTAATATCTCAACCTAATCATTTAAAAATTAATTCGACAGTTTATTTGTATGATTGGGGTCACGAATTTAGAGCATCTAATTAGGTGTAGATGTTTTCATATACTCGCGCCTCGTTGTCGGAGTGGTAATAGCTTTGTCTTGTTGTAAATTTCAATGAAAGGGAAATATTATTGTTGTCAGTGAACTCGGATGTTACTGTTAATATTCGGTTTTCGTTCAACGATAGAACTCAAATGGGTGATCAATCTAGACAAACGCAAAATATAGGGGAATGATGCTTGCGAAATGATTAAGTAGATAAAAGGATAACGAGTGCATGACGTCACTGGCATTTAGTGTCCATAAACTACCAAATTGTTAGAGAAAAACTTCCCCACGCAACTATATTTCATCCGTTACGAGCAACAAAATATAACAATTTGATTAGTGAAGAGGTACTGAATGAATGGGGATTTGCACACAAATGTCGGAATAGTTTCAAAGCAAATTTATACAGTCCAGATTGTACCTGTAATAACTTAGATCAAGGACTTAATCAAAATATCATAATACGTAGGAACGAATATTAATGCGCAAATAGAAACTGGTAGAATCACACTTAGATGTATATATAGTGAACGAGGGAAACAGTAATAGACAACATGCAAAAATCGTTAATTTAGAGCTCGTTTTTCATCAGAACAACGAACAGTGTTCATGCAATTAACGAACATACTTCTACTTAAGGCCGACGGCTGGAATAGAAACATAGGTCCACCAGTGCTTTTGAATCTAGTAATTACGGATATCGTAGTGTCCAGACGAACCAACGAGAAAGCTTCACGCTCGTTTACCAAATACCAAAATAAAATTATGATTTGGTGTGAGGAATTATTATCAGTTAGTTGTTTCGCTACGAAATGATATCGGGTATAATCCAAGGATCCTAACAACTATATCTAACTCCTAGAACGAAAAGGCAATTTACTATTTTTCCGTTATCGGATTGGCTGAAAAGGTGTTGATAGTTCTCTACCGTTCGGCTACATACAAGCCTATGGTCTCACGTAATGGATAGTAGCCTATAACACACACACGAATGAGCGTTTCCAGTGAAATCGGACAGTTGGTTCAAATAAGCAGTACATGGTGATTGCAGACATGTTTTCATAAGCAATATTACACATACAAGATAAGATGAAGCATTTTACTGTGATTACACATAGGTGCAATTTTATCAGTAATAACTTGTTCCTAAAGGGCACGGTTTAAACGTTAGATCCTTTAGAATGTGCCCGCTCTTTCGTTTCAACGACCTTGAGCGGCCTGACTAGAGGCGGTTATTCCGTATTTCAATTGCCGTGGGTTGGTTGGATTGGATGAGCATAAAGCTTTTTCATATATAAGTCATCTTATCCTGCATAAAAAAGCACGAAATAAATACCAAAAGCATTAATTTAGCATTCTCTGTTTTGTCGTGTACACTTTGGCTCTGTTGTTGCTTTGTAATTTGATCTGTGATCCCAACAACTGTACTAAACCTCAACGAAATGTCAAGTCACAGCTAAATCCTAAGTATTTGTAGTATTTCCTTGGGTTATTATAGTTGCAAGGAATAACTTTTTAATAACTAATCATGTCTGTCTGTAGTGCTTCATGCTCAAGTGACATTTCAGTCGACCTAAGCGATGCCTTTCGAAGTATGATACTGAACAAGCGTTTTGCGTGCTGGGATGATTTTGATAGCGCATTAAAAGAGTTCCAAAAAGTATGGAATAGTAATTTTATCGCTTCTCAGACTACTTATACTAGTTACATCCACACGAAAAGCAGGTTGCTAAAGGATGTCAGGTTCAAATACCTGTTTGTAACGTCTCATTGTACGTTTGGTCATAAGCGGAAATAGGAAGGTTTGAAAGTGAAGCAAAAATCGTAAGATCTTTAACTAATATCTGATGTTTAAGGTCTAAATTCCGTAAATGCTAATCTAAATTCCGTGTAAGACTAATGGAGCAAGGATATGTCACCAAATCCTTCAACATGCTCCACAATCATCCATGTAGTAGTTCATGGATGGTATGTGATCTATGGACAAGAAGATCATCATCAGAAGAAAATGAGAACTTGAAGCCAGTAATACTGCACTGTGAGTCAGCAGATGAAGTTATCGAAAGTATTAAGGAGAGAACTGGTAAGCAAGTAACCGCTGCCGATGTCAAAGGTATGAAAGCTACACTCTCCACTGGTAAGTGTATATAAATATATTTCAGGTTGTACTCGGAAGCAGGTAGTGAATATGCTGAGACAAAAAGGCGAATTGGGAGAACATTAAGAAAATGGATATGCCACGCGAATATGTTTCAGTAGTTATGACCAAATACGGTTGTACAGGAAATATCCAGAAGTTCTGTGCATTGATTCTACGTATAATACCAACAATAAAAAGTGAATATGCTTTTCGTTGTATTTTACTATGTAGATATTCGTTATTCCAGTCGGTGGTGACAGATAACTGGGATCGAGGACGAACTGTTATGTTTGCGTGGACACGAAAAGAAAGCGTGCCGATGTGAAATGGATTTTATATAAATTCAAATAGATAATGGGTAACACAATGTTGACAGAAACATTTGCGATGGATTGCGAACGATCGGAAAGCGCGGCTGTCTGGATAACACACGAACATGCAAGCATCATTCTGTGCGACTTTCATGTAATTCGTGCTTTCCGGAAAATGGTACACCAATGGTCGACGAGGCGAAACTTCAAGTTGCCAACAACTGGCTCTTCTCTCAATACCTTCAAAAATCATGGAGTCCCTGATATGCGACGGTATGCACGACTATTTACTGTACTTAAATTTCCTCTCACCCCAACAGCATGGTTTCAGGAAGGGTTACACTTGTATAACAAACCTGCTGACTGCGGTGGAGAGATGGACAAGCATCCTTGATCACAAAGGGAAGGTTGATATCATCTACCCAGATTTCTCAAAAGCTTTTGATAAGGTTAACCATACATTTCTTATCAATTAGTTCAAACGATTGGGTATCAGACCACCTCTAAACGATTGGCTCATCCCATACCTGAAAAATCGACATTTTAAGGTCAGGGTTGATTTCACATTATGTCAGGCTATGAAATGTCCTAGTGGGGTCCCCCAGGGCTCAGTACTAGGGCCACTTCTCTTCTTGATCTACATAAATGATCATCCACAACAGGTAACGTCAGACTTATTACTTTTTGCTGGTGGCGTGAAACTTTGGAGAGAGATACGCAACCAGGACGACATACAGGCACTTCAGGAGGATCTGACTCGATTTCAAAGTTGGTCAGATACTAATGGACTTGCTTTTAACACTTCAAAGTGTAAAGTAGTCCATCTGCGACACGTCGCAGACTACAGTTCAGCTTAGGAAACTCCTATCTACTAGTATCCCGAGTCCAAAAATATTTAGGAGTCCTAGTGCCCCGTGATTTAGGTCTTACGCTAACTGAGACAAAAATGCCTTCACAACAAACCTTGAACTGGTAACGTTGAAGTGTATTTTTGGACAGTTCGACGGAAGAACTTTCCACATAATCTTCACTAGTTTTATCCTTCCCCACTTAGAGTACGTAAACATGGTACTTTCCCCCTCAATGCAAAAGAATGAGGACACTTTCGAGCGTATCTAACTGCGAGCCACGAAATCAGTTCGATGACTCAAATTTAAACCATGAAGAGCGTCTCCATTCACTTAACCTTTACCCATTAGAATATGTGCGTCTTAGAGGTGATCAATTAATGGCTTACAGTATTCTTAACACTTCTGAACGTCCCCCTAAACACCTACTTAGGCTTAGTTCCAACACGAACCTAAGGGGTAACACCCAGAAATTGGAGACATAACTTCTACTACTTAAGGTTTGTCAAATGCTGGAATTCGCTGCCGGCCGAGCTAGTCCAAGCGACTTCCCAGAAGTCCTTTAAGAGGCAACTTGATCTGTTCTTAAGGACCAAGGACAGCATCATAATATGATTTACCTCTTTCTTTTTCCTCCTTTATTGTTTATAAACTCAGGTTTCTGCTTAGGGATTCGGTGATCCGCTGTTACTAGATACGAAGCTCGTTTAGCGAAAGCTTCTTCTATTCCGTCCACAACAATTTGAACAATTTGGATCCGCGGGCTTTTGGAAATAGTACGTAACGCTATCGTGTCTAGCACCAGATTCCGTTAGTAAATTTTCGTGTTAAATTTTGCGATATATTCGTACAGATTGTTATGATTGTCTGTATATCTCATTGTTGGTAGTCGACTTGTCTATTTCCTATCGAGATGAAATTACTATATAACCCAATCAACCACCTAGACAACCAATAAAGGGGAAATAAAGGGGTAAATGCTTTGGAAGAGAAAGGGGAAATTAAAGGGAAAACGCATCAGAATGTCGCCTTTTTCGCCTGTCTGCGGAAATACTGCGGATTTCCCCCTTTTTGCCGCTTTGTCGATAAATTGCCGACTTTTCGCCTAAATATTTAGGCGATATATCCGCTGAATTGTCTACTTTTCGCCTAAATATTCGTCAAATTACCCACTTTTTGCCTAAATTTTCGCCGCATTGTCAAATTTTTGCCTAAATGTCCGCCGAATTTTCGCCTAAATTTTCGCGGAATAGCCTACCTATACGCTTAATTGTCTACTTTTCGCCTTAATACACACAGAAATCCCTATTTTCGATCCATTGACATAACCCCAAAGGTCTCCTATGTTCGCGTTTATTTTCAACAACAGACCAAAATAAATCTGCAATGCACACCATGGTGTATTTAAAAAAAATTTATTTAAGAGGAAAATCGTATTATTGTACAACATTAAAGCAGAAGCTTGAGCATCAGTCGTTTTGTATATCCACTGTAATTGCCAATTCATTGTTATTTGAAAAGATCTACAAAAGATGAAACAGGTGATGTATTATTCATAAGGCATTTGCATCTAATCTAAAGTTAACTGACACTCAAACACACATTCTTAACACTTCTATAGTTTCCCATGTAAGTAATAAAGTGAGCTCTTTTACCAAAAATTGTTTATTAAAAATGAGGTAGAACATAAAGAAAATTACACGGACTATTGCCTTAAGCCACGTTCGTTCGGCTATTGAGAATTGAAACAGTCGTCCTGTGAATTAATAAGTTTAAAAAACTGAAAAAGTCACAACAATATCTGAATGACATGTCTTGGCTCAGCCAAATGCTTTAAGCTAAACTTACGGTTATGTCCGTTAACACTGATGACTAACTATAGAGCCGTAAGGAGTGTTATTACTTTAAATTAGTACATACTTGCCCTTCTTCTTTTACGCTTTATCACTTTGTCTCTGACATCGTGAAAAAAACCTTGTATGGCTATGTCGTACAGCTTCGCAAGATCTTTTTCGTTAACAGAGGATGATAAAAAGCGGTTTGTTAACGCACCTGAAGTTTAAATATGAGTTACTTCGTATGCAGCCGTAAAACTGGCATTTTAGAAGTGGTCGTTTAGAAGAAGTTCCAAGTAACGTGAATTTACTGGCAACCTCAAGTGTTAAGAGGTACGACAGAACATACCGCATTGATGTTTTCGGATCATCACCCGATAACCTGGTAACCATTGCCATCTGTAATCGGGACAAGTTATTAAATTAATGTTGATGACTTACAAATCGGTCTCTGGTTTCTTTCTGCTGCAAACCAGTCTCCATCTGCAGTTCCTCTTCAGGGAACTGCTGACTTGACAGTCCGCAATCGAGCTGATGTGGATGTTCGCGTTCACTGAACTTCGCTAGTAGCAGCTTTACATTTGTACTCAAATCAGTAATAGCTGAAGACATGTTCTGCATCACTGTATACTTACGCCTGTTACTCCTCGTGAAGGAGCATAGACTGCTCACCAGCATTCTCCATCCAACCCTGTCCTGGATAATCCTTTCCAGCTCCTTCTAGTTGTTATTCATCCTTTTCATATCTGCTTCTTTTATCCTACGTAATGTGTTCTTTGGCCTTCCTCTTTTCCGCTTCCCTGCAGGATTCCAAGTTAGGGCTTGTCTCGTGATGCAGTTTGACGATTTGCGTAATGTATGTTCTACCCATTTCCATCGTCTTTTCCTAATTTCTTCTTCAGCTGGAAGCTGATTTGTTCTCTCCCACAAAAGACTGTTGCTGATGGTATCCGGCCAATGGATGTTGAGTATCTTGCGAAGACAGCTATTTATAAATACTTGTACCTTCTTGATGGTGGTTTTGTAGTTCTCCAAGCTCCAGCTCCATACAGTAGAACTGCCTTGGCGTTCGTATTGAAGATTCTCACTTTGATATTGGTTGAAAGTTGTTTTGAGTTCCATATGTTCTTCAATTGTAGGAATGCGACCCTTGCTTTCCCAATCCTTGCCTTTACGTCTGTATCTGAACCGACTTATCCATCGATGATGCTTCCCAGGTATGTGAAGGATTCTAAACCTTCCAGAGTTTCGCCATCAAGAGTGATTGAATAGCTGTTCTCTGTGTTGAATTTGAGGACCTTAGTTTTCCCTTTGTGTATGTTGAGGCCTACTGATGCAGAGACTGCTGCTACACTGGCTGTCTTCATCTGCATCTGTTCGTGTGTACATGATAGGAGCGTTAGGTCATCTGGGAAGTCCAAATCGTCTAATTGATTCTGAGCTGTCCATTGTATTCCGTGTTTTCCTTCAGATGTCGAGGTCCTCATAATTCAGTCGACCACCAGGAGAAAGAGGAAGGGAGAGTAAACGGCCTTGTCTGACTCCGGTCCTTACTTGGAATGCATCTGTCAGCTGTCCTCCATGCACTACTTTGCACTGTAGTCCGTCGTATGAGTTCAGGATAATATTGACAATCTTCTCAGGAACTCCGTATTGTCGAAGAAGTTTCCATAACGTCCTTCTATCCACACTGTCAAATGCCTTTTCGTAATCAATGAAGTTGATGTACATTGAAAAGTTCCACTCAATCGATTGTACGAAGATGATCAGTAGTGTCGCAATTCGGTCTGTGCACGACGGATCCTTACGGAATCCAGCTTGTTGATCTCGAAGTTCGGCGTCTACTGCATCCTTCATCCGGTTCAGCAACAATCTGTTGAAGACTTTCCCTGGTATTGACAGTATTATTATGCCTCTGTAGTTTTCACATTTGCTCAGATCTCCTTTCTTTGGAATCTTGACGAGGTGCCCTTCTTTCCAGTCCATCGGCACTTGTTCCTCCCAAATCTTTTTGAATATAAGGTAAAGCATGTTTGTAGTTACTTCGATATCTGACTTCAGTGCTTCAGCTGGTATGTTGTCAGATCCCGCTGCTTTCCCGTTCTTGATTTGTCTGACGGCCATTCTAGTTTCTTCCGTAGTTGGTGGGTTGACGTCTATGGGAAGATCTGTGTGTGCTGCTTGGATGTCCGGTGGATTCATTGGAGCCGGCCTATTCAGGAGTTCCTCGAAGTATTCTACCCATCTGTTCCGCTGTTGCTGAATTTCAGTGATTGGCTTGCCTTCTTTGTCTTTGACCGGTCTCTCTGGTTTACTGTATTTCTCTGCTAATTTCTTCATTGTATCGTAAAGCTGTTTCATATTTCCTTCTCTAGCAGCTTTTTCTGCCGTCGTTGCTAGTTCTTCCACATATTTCTTCTTGTCGGCTCTAACGCTCTTCTTCACTTGCTTGTTTACTTCTATGTACCCAGCTTGTGCTTGGACTTTCTCTGCTCGTGTTCGGCTGTTGTTAATTGCTCTCTTCTTGTTCTTCCTTTCTTTGATCTTGTCCACTGTTTCTGTAGAGATCCATTCCTTATGATGGTATTTCTTTAGACCGAGAACCTCTTGACACTTTGAAGTTAATGCTTCCTTGATGCCTTTCCAGTTGTCCTCCATAGTAGTTTCTTCTTCTTTCAGTAGATCTTGTAAGGCTTGTAACCTGTTGTTGAGAGCTATCTTGAATTCGTTGATTTTGTTAGTATCTCGAAGGAAGGCTGTATTGGACCTTTGTAGTGCTGTTTGTCCACTTGTCCAGTTCTTTTTTAGCTTCAGTTTTAAATTGGCTACAACTAGGTGGTGATCTGAAGCTACGTCAACACCTCTCCTGGTTCTCACATCTTCCATTGTCCTTCGGAATTTTTTGTTGATGCAAATATGATCGATCTAGTTCTCTGTAGTGTGGTCCGGTGAGATCCATGTAGCCTTGTGTATACGCTTGTGTGGAAATATTGTGCCTCCTATGACCAATTTGTTGAATGCACATAGCTTTGCAAATCTTTCTCCATTTTCATTTCTCTGTCCCAGTCCAATTAACATTGGATAATATTCATTGTGATCCCCTCCTTTGTTTTGAATGATGCTTTGGTGATTCTAGATCCGTGAGATTCCCATCCTACAAGTGCACTTCGTGCTACTTTGGACAGCATTAGAGCAACTCCCTGAGTGTGTGGAGCGTCTTCCTCTTCGTGACCAGAGTATAGCAGCATCTCTCCCGTAGCTAGCCTTTTCTGTCCAGTTTGGGTCCAGTGGGTTTCGCTGATTCCCAGTACTGCCAAATTGTATCTCCTCATTCCCGTTGCTATTTGACTGGTCTTCCCGATTTCCCACATTGTTCGGACGTTCCATGTACCTACAAAAACTTTTGCTGTGGTTGTTAGAAAGGGCATCGGCCTCGTGGCTTCCGAAGGAACTCGGCTTTCACCATGAAGCGTCATAATTCTTCTAAATGAAGACCTTCTAACTCCCAGGGCAGAGTTAAAATAGTTTGAATTATTTTTTCTGGTAAGCGTCTTTTTAGCGAGTTAGTTTTCTACGGGATGGGGACGCTAACCCCATGCCCAACCCTCCTCCTTTACCCGGGCTTGGGACCGGCAGTAACTCTAGAAGAGCTACAGGCGGAGTTATCATTGTATACAACCTGTTAAATCTGAAAAACTTCACTTGATCGTACAGGTGACTTACTGGGCCGCTGAAGCACAGCCTACATTCTTAGTTTATAATTATGTATCTAATTGTGTCGAACTACTTCATTAACATCTAAATAGTAATGGAACGTGATTGGCAATTGGCGAGGCGACTCTGTCAAACAACCGAAATTTCGGATATTGTACGTGGCTATTTCTAGCCTTAATCTCGGCCATATCCATGTCTACTGAATTGTAAAGAAATCCTTATTTGTGCTTCAATGCACCTCTAGGAAATGTTAATAAGATTATTGTACTGACCTGTTGGGCTTCTCATTATTGAGTGGCAAGATGTTTTCCTCCATTGAAGTATTTTTGAAGGGAAACTAACATGTCCTTTGCAGACTGCAGACCGTCTATAATAAATCATACTTTCTATGTTTGTTACTCACCGAATTCGTGAATGACTTTACAACCTGCCTTACCATTGTGATTAACCGTGTATCTAACAGCAGAACCAATTAATTGGTTCGAAACTGACTTTAAAAGTCACTTCACATCAAGGCAACATGGTGAAGTATTTGCAATCAGAAATAAAACTATAACGTACATACCTGTAATGATAAACAGCGAATAGTTATGAAAGTAAGTCATTTTATGTTTATGAAACAGCACCTCCTGTGAAGTATACTATATAATGTGTTTCAAATGTCCCAACACGCGTCACTCGACATGGTTATTTGCATAGCTCATCTTTGAACCTCAACGTTTTTTCTACTTCAAAGGCCCACCGTTTTCCCAATAGGTATGACTCATTTTATCACTATATTTCTTGATGTCAGTAATTAGATTGTATTTTTAATCTTATTCCATTTTGGTAGCTCATAACTTCTGTCTTATTAAAGCAAATGGAACTAAATGGATAAAAACTAAAATTCTCTTTTTAGGTAACATTCTATCTGAAATGAAACTGGATATCAGAGACAGTAAATCTGATGTTGGACGAAGTGCATGTGATATAATCAAGGCTATCCTTTTAGACTCAACTAAGGATAACCGTATTGTTACAATCGGTTTATCTGGTAATTTAATCGTTTAGTTAATTTTCTTTTATTAAGGTGGGAGTATGCCTCATCTTCTTGCACCACACCTTTGCTCTTTCTCGGAAATCAATTGGGAACTAGTTCATTTCTTTTATTGCGATGAAAGACTAGTTCCATTAGATAGTGAAGATTCAAATCATCATTGCTACCAAGAACTACTCTACTCTAAAATTAACATTCCATCCTCAAATATTCATACTGTTAATACAACATTATCATGTAGAGTGTCTTTAATCATAATATAAATCGTGTTTAGTAGAAGATTCAGCTGCTGATTATCAGAAACAGCTCTTATCATTCTTTGGAACAGCTAACGGTTATCCACGTTTCGATCTACTGCTTCTTGGTATGGGTCCAGATGGTCATACATGCTCCTTATTCCCTGATCACAAATCGCTCTATGTAAGTTAATATTTTATGCCAAACGTTCAAGACACCATCGATTTGTGCTTCTAATTTACTACAATATCTTGATGCTGGATAATACTTTGTATTTTCCACTGTTCACCGAGGAAAATGCAAAGAGAGTTATTTTTTTATTGTTACGATAAGGCTTCTGGCACGATGATGTATCAATTTAATTCTTCACTCTTTCTAGCTCCACAAATAATGTAAAATAACAAAATTATTCTGAGTTATATGAAACCATTGGGAAAGTCAAATACAACTGACGGGATATGGATGAACGGACTGTTTAATTAATATTATTACTGTTCTAATTTATCTCACCACGTTATAATAGAGGTAAAAGAAAGCAAAAGAAATAACATTATTAACCAGAAAGTCAATCAGTCGAAAATAAGGTTATTATGGATGAATTTACACTATTGTGATTACTTTAGGGTTGTACAACTATCTATATAGATCTTCAAAAACAGTCAGCGACAGCGTGTACTTCTCAGAGATAAACATAAATAATATAGGTACTGTCGTGAATTATGTAACAACCCTCCTCCTTGTCGTGTTTCTCAATGAGTAGTCAACTCGAGAAATTACAGTATCGAAACTAATATTATGTGACACTCAAGAAAATTGGTAGCAAGAAATAAAGAGTACTAAATAGTGTAGTGTTTTCAAGCATCGAAAGACAGCAAGAATATCAAATGTAGTACCAATGATTTCAAATTATCACTCTTATTAGCAGTAGTACAATCAAGTTTTATTGGTGTAACCAAAGTAGATATGGATCTTAGGTTTTAACATTGTTTATCGTTTCATATTCAGCGAGTTCACTGATTCGTTTCTCATTCAGTTTCCCATTATTGTTGATACTAATATTCCATCTCGTTCGCCTTTAATCTTGATAATTTGATCTTGTTCTGATGCGAGTTAAGGCAGATTTAACCGAAACTTATTTAGGTTTAACTGACTGACAAAGACACTCCATAAAGATATATCAATCAACTGGATATTTATGTTTAAACTGTTTTGTCAGTCTTTATATTAACTTCAAATCACAGATTTCTATATTAAATGAAGTATTAAACTGTTAACTGAATAGTGTACCATTTACGTTTCAACCAGTGAACCTGAAGTTTGAACAACTCTTCAACCTAATTTAATTTGGGTAGCCGGCTAGTATTATTAACCTTTCGTTGGAGTGGTGTTGTTCCCTGTCGACTAGTTAAACCTATAATTAGCGAATAAGTCACACCTAATTGACTAGTAATGGCTTTGATTGATAATTTATACCTATTTATATAAAAATTCAGGGAGCTGTTTAGTCAAAATTCATGAATTTTATTTTCTAACAGTATGAAGATTATGTGGTAGCACCGATTTCTGACAGTCCGAAACCACCACCACAAAGGGTTACTTTAACTTTGCCTGTAATTAATAAAGCAGCAAAAGTTGTGTTCATGATCACAGGGTCAGATAAAGCTCATGCATTAAAGGTAAGATATTTTCTTATCATTATTATTATGTGTCATATTTGAAACTTGCCACTGTAATAAGTCTACTGATTGTACTCTGCTTCTAATAACCCCTGAATAAATCTACACAGCAACTTGAACACAGGAGCAACGGCCCAAAGTGCAAGAACCAAAAAACTGGTGATAAGGATTTATTTGACTTCAAAAAGTATATCAGGATGATTTATGGATACACTACTGTTTACATGATATATTTACAGTTAGATTAACAGTCAGATTTGTATAATATAAACTGAGCTATATTTAATAGTAACAATAATAATAACATACTGTGTGAACACATTTACCATATTATACAATTAACTATAACAAATATAACTGATTAATTAGGTTATAATATTACTCCCTAAGATGTGACCCTTCACACCCAGACTAACATCATGAAGGCGCCAAAGATGGCCCAGATTAGCATAAATCGCTGAGTTTCGGAAGAAAAGGAAGAATTTTACGCCTGTTACTCCCAATGGAGCATAGGCCGCCGACCAGCATAATTTTTTCTGGTTAGCGTTTTTTTAGCGAGTTAGTTTTCTACGGGATGGGGACGCTAACCCCATGCCCAACCCTCCTCCTTTATCCGGGCTTGAGACCGGCAGTAGCCTCCGGAGGGACTCCAGGCGGAGTTGCTCAGAGTTTCACTATACGTGAATTGATCTCATCACTTACGTCACCACCAGCATTTAGACAGCCACCCATTTACACAAACTCGACTACTTCCAACTCCGATAGTGAGTCCAGGTTCAATGTCCCGCCAGTCTTTTAAAAGTATTTCGCACTTAGGAGGTGCAAAGCAAACGCCATTTATTATGATTTTAATATAAAAATTGTTACAAGGGAGGTACCCAATACATATGTGCCACACAATAATAGTGAGGTTGTGAAGATATAGATAATGTAAAGTGTGCATAATAAAAGAACAACAACGAACAGATATGAGTGTATGAGTGAAATAATAATAACGAGAGAGACAGTTCTATTAGCAAATAATAAACTTCTCAGGCACATTCTTCCTCAATAGACAATTCCAAATAGCAGTCCTGTCCAACGAGTCGAAGTTGGCTCCGATGTCAAGAAACGTAACAATTGTTGACCTGCAATAGTTATGGCGGTATCCTAACATTTTGTGAAGGGTGAAGATATGATCGATACATCTTCAACTAGAACGAAAACCAACCTACTCCTCGTGAATCAACCTCTCCTGGGTGTTGAACGATTTGCAAGGTATGATGGAAGCCAATAATTTGGACGCAATCTGGAGTCAATGTAGCTCAACCGGTTTATGATGGTATAAAGGCCTAATCACTACTAAGAGGCAGCAGGTACAATGGGGCAGACATGTGCCTTCTAGTTAAACATTTATGAATTATTTACCATTAGTTCCCTTCACAATTTTAAACAGAGGAAGAACGACAATATTGGCAGAATATGATGAATTCATTGTATTTCTGCTTTCTCTCTTCAGCTACCCAGAAACCAATATTTTTAGTCATTTACAATTTTTAGAAAGTGAATTGTTCATCAACGACAAAGGAGTTATGTGTAATGAGAAATTAGTTAAGAATTAAAGTTTTAAAAGGAGTTATGATTGATTAAGGTAATAGTTCTCGAATATTAAGATGATGTAATTACACGTTATAACCACGATGTTTAGAAGTTCAGAAAAAAAGATAACATGGGAGTTCAACTCATTAGATTGTGATTTCAGTTAATTGAGAAATAGAGCGTTCAAAATGTTTGTTTTGTGTGCGTTACTAAAACAGCTGAATTTATTTATTTAAACGCATATACACTGGTACTAGGAGGCACCAAACAGATATCCGCCACATAAATCATACTGTTCGGGCGCCCAAACCGATGCAGGTGGTTTTCCTAGGGGACCACACCCCGAGCCTTCGAACTAAAGGTCTAATCCACAAGGCGGTGGAGCTACGTAAGGTGATGCAGTCCTATGGTGGCCGGTGACCAATAATAGGTTCATACGCCATTTGCTTCCTCAGGATCCTTGAGCGTGCTATCGAACTAGGCTGGAAGTTTTCTCAAGGGCGTACGTTTTTTGAATTATAGTTATAACCAAAAACTCTCGTACAAGTATGCATATACAGAACATCCAGAGTAACATGTGACAGATGTTTATCTACTTTTGTTTGTGTTATTGACCATAGTGTTGTTCATAGTAGAACCAATCTTGCAGTCGAGAGTGTGCTTTTAAAAGTTCTTTTAGTTTTTAATAATTGGAAATAATTAAACATATTAGCTAATATGTAGGAAAGAACGAGAAAGCAACGAAGTATAATAAAGTGATCCTTATTCTGCAAAGTTGTCGCTCTTGCTTTGCTTAAACCATATATCATTATACCGTTCATGCAGATTTGTTAAGTTTAGATCAATGTACATTATCTAATAAAATATGCATAGGTCATATTGTCTAATCGTTTTTATTTGCTCAATCTGGTATACCATACTAAACCTACATCACGTCAGTAAGTAACGTAAACTCACGTCTAATTGTTTCGCCGTTTTCCCAGCTATTATTATGATCAGATAAAAAACTACTTTTCTGTTTATAAACAATAATTGTATTAATCAATTAATCCTTTATTGACGCTGCTCTCTTTCTCTTCCGTCTAGTCTGTTCACCAATCACCTAATCCAGGTCCTTCTATGCCATGTTCATTAATTCATCCAGTCTATGGAGAATTAATATGGATTGTAGATAAAGCTGCTGCCAGTTTATTGAATACATAAATCAACTGTATTGTTGTCAATATATTTTATTACATGTTTACTTTCTACCATAATCTTCGAATTACATTACTTGAATAAAGCTCAGAACAACAATTAAGGCAGAATAATATCAAATTCATTCTATTTTGTAATTTTTCATCAGCTTCTTACAACCATATATTTATTTATTTAAACACATAAACATTGGTACAAGGAGGCACCAAACAGATATCCACCACATAAATCACTTGATTTGTGTGTGGGCTGGAATACTGCTCGGGTGCCCAAACCGAAGCAGGTAGTTTTCTTCGGGAGCCACACCCGGAGCCTTCGACATAAAGGTCTGATCCACAAGGCAGTGGAGTCACGTAAGGAAATGCAGTACCATGGTAGCTGCTAAACAACAGTAGGTTCATACACCGTTTGTTTCTTCAGGATCCTGGAGCCTATGTACACCATTGGTTTGGAATTAGAGTTTTGCAACTCCTCTAGGTGGACTCTGTGTCCACCAACCCGGTTAAAGCGCCGGACATTCGCTTTTCGTCCTCTCAATTTCGTAAACAACAGTGATGCCACGAGAAGGCAGTGAGTAGGACTTCCCTGGCAGTGGTTGTATGCACGTGGCCATGTGAGAGCATTTTTCGAGGGATAGTTGACTCTCCCTACTCTCGGTCGTACCAGGACATCTGGGGGCTACAACCATGTATGTATTAAAATTGAGGTATGATATAATGTAATAAATCCTTGATATCTATTTTCAAGTAATCTGAAGCTTATGTAAACTCTTCACAATTTCTGAGATTATCATACTATTCATCTTAACAGTTTTTAGAATCCACCTAATTACGGCTTCATTTACCGATGTTTTTGAATTCCATCTCTACTTAACCTCAAATGTGTTTATATATATATATATATACATGGTTATCTCTGTTCTTCTAATTCATTCCGTCATCAATGTCAATTACTTCACATGATATCATACCTCAATGTTGCACTTTAATACACATCATTAGTTGTAAACAACTCATAAGAAATCACGAAATACAATGAACGCATATTATTCTGCTTCAATTGCTGTTTTGGCTTTGATAAAGTTCGGAAAAGGAACCAATTGTATGAAATTACTGAAGGATTAATTTATCCTATATGATGATAATATGTCATTACTATTTAATAATGAGTAGTTTATATAATTTTGATAGATATCTGTCAAATTAAATGGTTAATTTATTTGGCAAATAGATTTCTGTGAATTTTTGTTAAATCTTGAATGTTTAATTTGATGATTAGTTGATAACTCTTGTTATCTCATGAAACATGTAAAGTATTTGACCATTTGTTTGTATACAGCCAATTTAGAGTAAGGGAATATTATTGTTATGGATAATGTACATAAAGCCATCTGTTTGTGAATCGTAGAAATAAATGAGAGTCAACAAACATGGCACAATTCCATGAAGTCACTGACAAGCAGACTGAGTCATATTGGTAGGTGTAGACTACCTGGTTGGGATCCGCGAGATGATAGCAACCGATGGTTAGAGACCCTGAATGAAATGGCTCAAAATCGTTTGCAATGGCACAGGTGCATCCACTCTTTGTGTTCTCCCAAATTCTAATCTTCTGAATTCTTCATATCCCTTTTTTCCTCTTTCCAAATTTATTTCACCGGATTATACTCTTTAAATAACATCTCCAAACCCTAATCTTCCCGATTACTGCTTATACTCTTGCTACCTCTACCACTACGGGATTTGAATCGACCACTGCATCTCTGTGCTAAGGTGGTGTGGCAACTCGAACTGATGTACGTACGTACGAAGTTCTACGTTGTTACTGACTGACTGACAACAAATGAGTATGCATTTAGAATGGTCAATGTAATTGATGACAAACAATATATAAATCAGAATCGAAAAAAATCTGACAAATGTAAGTACCTATTAAAAGAGTATGGCTTTAAATGACCAAAATTCAAATAATCCCCATAAATCAAGTGCTAAAAATACATTAATGTACGATTCTAAACCAGGTGAATCGACAAGCGTATCGTTTTCAAATCTGGATAAATCATTAGTGCCTTTAAAGTGAGTTCCTGAAGTGTTTTTTTGTTGTTGAGAATCTTGAGTAATGGAGTTCTTTCACGTTGGAAGGGAAACAGTTATCACCAGTCCCGTTAGATGATGTTTGCACTGTATCATAAGTTGATTAAAGTATAGAACGTCTGTTATTAAATAACAACTCGGTGGTTCAACGGTTAGGTGCTCAAAGTGAGAGCTGAGTGTTCTGTATCTGATCACCAAAGGCGTTGTGCATGATAACCACCTAGGAGTTCTGTACATGAACAAAATAGATCTTTTAGGCATGGGCTGATCCGGCAGTAGAGTTTTCATAAGGCTACGTAAAATTAATTTCAATGTGACTCAACAGTCAATTCAACTTCGTTTTCTAGAATTTTCTATACACTTTATTGTATTAGGAAGAGAGACGCTACCTGATTTCGGGCTTGAAATCTTTTTCAAGATTACCGCTGACCTACTATTATCACCTTTTGTTCAAATACAGTTGGTTATAAGTATACTTTAGTGTTCTCTTTTAGTGGTAGCCTTTATGAAAATACTATCAACATGAGAACAAAAGACTTGATCCCTCTTCAATATGAATCAAGATTTCAATAGAATCTGATCATTTTCTTCTAACAGCAGAATGACTAAGAATATTTGAGCGAAAAGTTGTTTTCAAAAACTTGAACATCAGGTTCTACAGTTATAAGTACATGATTATTGTGATATTTTATAAGGGCCAAAATTAGTCATTGATTAATGAATTCGGCAGTGTTAAAAATTGTAGGCGTTTGCATCTATTACGGCATAAATACTTCAAAATTGTGTTATTTGTAAGTTGGAAACGTCAGGATGATTTTTAGCAGTGTCAAGTTATGATAGTAATTTAATGAAGTAACTAAAGCCTGTCGTATCTCGAGAAAATATCATGAATTGGGTGCTTTCTAATGTTATTCAGATACAGGAGTTTTATATCGAGTCTTTTTAACCCTAAGATGCAAATTAGAGTAAAATAAGATTTGACTCGTAGGTTGTATTCGTCACAGTTAGGTCCCGCTTTGGTGCCATTGTTGACCATGGAGCACTGGACAATTGTTTCTTCCCACTAAAAAACTAAACTGTATACATCCAAGGGCTTCATCTCTCATAGCAAATGCTTGACTATCAGAACCACTCGGTCAGTACGCAGTGATACAATGAGGACTTTAATCAATTCGAGATAATCCATATTTACTGATTTCAGCGGTGCCTCGAATGAAATCAGTTTTTGACCAACGTAACCTACAAATGAAATAATTTCCCACAAAACCTTCCAACTGGGACGTATCTTCATTTAACTTGTGTCCTACAAATTCGATTTGTAAGAAGCATACTACTGCCAAGTAAAAATAAGTAGTTTGAGGATCGCATTTTTAAGATGATAATTTTTCAAAGGTTATGTTAGGTTATGCTTAGTCTAGTATCCGGATTACAACTTCGTCGATATAGTTAGATAGACACCAAGAGTTAGACGGGAACCACATTGATTAATAGCTTGTGGTTGACTAATGTAAACATTATAATGGTTGAGATCATGTGGTCATGGAAGCACTGAACGGCCGTTTTGTCCTATTGTGTGACTCCTCAGCAGCGCGCATCCTTCTGATACTAGCGTAAATATCATAGTCATTTTGTGAATCTTTATTTAATATTATCCTTTACTTCCTAGCATCATCATGTGTGATGCCAACGTTTCATTTCATAATTTTTATTGTTTTTGTCCGTCTTAATTATCTGGCTTACTCATTTAGTCATTTATTTTTATCTATAAATCCCGTTTACTATGCTTCTCCATTTTTAAGCCTTCTAATCATTTGCTTTGTCATCCTTTTTAATTCGTTGCAATTTTAGAGTGTTTACAGTTGATGATAAACTTTAAAATATTTTGGTTAATTCATTTTATTTCTTCGAAATTCGTCGTTCTTACTATCTGTATACATGAAATGTGAACTTATGTATATTTATATGTTTTAGTGGAGTCACATAAATTGCTCAGAGAATGTTATTCTGAGTCAAGACAGACAGACCATATGCGATCTCACAACATAATAATAAATGGACTGGGAATATGGGCGCGTTATTATCAATTATTTAATGATTCACGTAGTCATAGCTACCAATCAAAAGTTCTTGATAAACTAGCAGTTCATACGTACAGGTAAATACTTGTATTAGGTCAAATTATGTATTGCAAAACTATTCAACTTTGTGAAAATGAAAAAGACTGATTTTTTTAAAAATCTTAATTTTATTTCAGTGATCAGGAGTAGTATGGGATATTTCAAGCGTATATATTTCACTGATTGAAATCATGAGTCAATTGAAGCTAAACCACCATGGAAAACCTGGAAGCACCGGAGGGCCGTTTCGTTCTAATATGGGACTCCTCAGCACTGCGCATCCACGATCCCGCACCCCGCGAGATTCGAACTCAGGACCCATCATGACTCATGAATTCAATCAGTGAAATTTCTAAAATCTCCACAAAACCCTTCCTGATAATAATCATCTGCTCACTAGTGACTGACTTCAAGAGATACTCCTGGAGTTCTCGTGAGAAGCCATTACCAGTGGAGTTCAACCTGGTCTGTTGTGAGATATCAACTCACTGAAGACAATGGTGTACGGTGGCGCAACTTCGTGGATTAGTTGATGTTAGACGTTAACACCGTTTGGTGCTGGCTCAGTGGTCTAGTTGGTTAAGCGCCTGGAGCGAGACCGATAGGTCCTGGGTTTGAATCTGGCGGGATCGTGGATGCGCACTGTTGAGGAGTCCCATACTAGTACGAAACGGGCGTCCAATGCTTCCAGGTTTTCCATGATGGTCTAGCTTCAATCGACTCATGATTTCAATCAGTGAAACTTCTAAAATCTCCACAAAACCCCTTCTGGTATATATTATTGTTCGGATTTTGACAATGAAATTCTCGACACTTCTTAACTTTACATTTTATATACAGCAATAGATATTCAGTGTACTCTTAAGTTATTGAAATACAATTAAGATTCACTTAAATGAAAGGTTAGTACTGTCTAGTTGTAATATATTTAAAGAGTGTAGAAAAGTGTTGTCCAACGTTGTCTAATTATTTATTGATCAGTTACATTTTAACATATCAATGGGGAAATTCAAACAACCAATACAAAGGTGAATTATTATTATTATAGTCATTTTATTTAGGTTTGTTTTGTATATGATCTTGATGAAACTACACTAAAATCATCTTTTCATTCACTTGATTCTCTTAACTTATATAAACTCATATCGTGTTCAATTATTACGTTATTTATCTTCCCAAATTCTAATCCCAGTAAACTTTTCACAATTCCGACCTCATTTAATTATTGCCTCACCCAATTCCCTGTTTTTGAAATTGTCTTCAAATGACCTTAAACCTGTTCTTGTATACATATATTGTGATGCGTGCTACTTATATTGATATAAGTAGTATATAACGTGAGTCAAAAGAACGTAATGTCTGGCAGCAGAAGACGGAGAAGATCAAGAAAAGAAGAGCGAGAAAACAATGGAATTTGTTAGAAACTGCATGACCAATGAAATTCGAGACAATGGATTGATGTTTGCAACAGCAACAGCCCGGTTTGATATGATAGAATGATATTTTGCAAATTAACGATTTACTATATGGTTTTTCTATTTTACCAAGTAATTCTGTAATTTGTCCTAAATACAATTTGGCTGTCCTCACCCGTGTTCTTCTTCACTACAATATTAGTTATTATTGATAATTTGTATTATTCTTTCAATACATACATGGTTGTAAACAGTAGATGAGAATGATGCAATAAAATGAATTCATTTTATGTTATCTCAATTGTTGTTTTGGCTTGATTCATATTCGTAAAGGGAACCAAGTGCATGAAAACGGAAATCATGTAATATATAGACTACTACGAATTAGTAAATAGAAGTGTATGCTTAATAAATTTCTCAGAATGTTTTCAAGTGTTATGCTACTAATAATAGTTATAGTGATAATGATAATATGTGTGAATAACTTATGTTTAAGCTACGAAAATACATTAAAGAAGGTTGTATAAACATTGATTGAACTATGTCACCATAACATAAAAATGATTATTAACTAATTCGGCGAGAAGTAGGTCGAGATAAAACGAGTGGTTAAACATATTTA